ATGTTGGATGAGGGGATCAATGACAGATGGATGAAGGGATCAATGACAGATGGGTGAGGGGATCAATGGGAGGGGATCAAAGTTACTTGGTTGAGGGGATCAATGTTACTCGGCCGAGGGGATCAATGTTACTCGGCCGAGGGGATCAATGGCGGGCACGAGGGGATCACGGCGACACACCTTGCTGCAGGTGAGGGGATCAATCATACGGGATGAGGGGATCAATGGGAAGGGGATCAATAAGGGGATCAATGACAGGGGATCAATAACAGAGGGATCAATGACAGAGGGATGAGGGGATCAATGTTACTTGGATGAGGGGATCAATGGGAGGGGATCAATGTTACTTGGATGAGGGGATCAATGGGAGGGGATCAAAGTTACTTGGATGAGGGGATCAATGTTACTTGGATGAGGGGATCAATNATACTACACTCCACTACTTAACTGATCTCTATTTACTAGATAATTTATAAAAATCGCAAAAGCAAGAATTGAGACAACCGCCTAGCTTGACGTTTCCCGCGCTTTTTTCAACTTCACAAGTTCACAACATAACCTCCAAATATATTTTTGACAGATCTCCAGCTGATTGTTGACGTATAAAACTACTAAATATGAAAGGCAGATAACGAACCGAAACCCAATTCGTAATAAGTAACTTTTTAAATAATAAGTATAATACACGTTTCTTTATAAGCATTGCTTGCATGATTTTTGTAACAGCGGACTAAAAATTAGTCGGTCCCATCGCTTGGCTGCGATCTCTTCCAGTCTTGGAAACATAGGGAAACTTTGAAAACCTAATTAAACAAAGACTAAATAATATTATTTCAATGTTTAGCTTATTAACTTCTCCCCGAAAACAAAGTTCCATTCGAAACAGAAATTAAGTTTCGATATCGCTTCATCTTTTTTTTTTTTTTTTTTTTCGCTTCCGGTTGTCAAACAGTTCACAACGTAAATTGAGGTTCATGATTACAATCGTAAATACACAGTGTTAAAGTGCGCGATTAGTGCCGTTTGCCACCGAAAACTATAGTTAACTGGTGTAACTTTAACCACAAACGTTAGCTTCGCTGAATATCAGGTGCAAACGAGAATATTCAGTGTGAAATATTTGAGAAATCATCCAACAACACAGTGACATAAAAAATCACTTGAAAACTACCCACCATAGAGAAAAGTAATACATAGGAAATAGAGAACCCTCTCTGTCAAATTTTTGAGCCTACTAATTGACAGCCTGGTGTTAAATTCGCTGTACTTAACCTACGTACGTAACGCTCACATACACACATATTACACGCACACATACATACATAAAGTCCACGCATATGTCGCAGTCAGNAAGAAAAGGCATCGTCCTGCTGACAATCCTCTTTAATGCAATACTGAGATTACAACATTTTCCAGAGTTATGGAAAGTATCCATCATAAACATGATAGCCAAACCGGGGAAGCCTCCTACAGAGGTTACATCATACAGACCCATAAGTCTTCTTCCTTTGCTGTCAAAAGTCTTCGAGAAATTGGTCTTGAAACGCCTACTACCAGCACTAATAGCAGACAAAGTTATACCAGACCACCAATTCGGCTTCCGCCAAAACCATGGGACGACGGAACAAATACATCGAGTAGCGCATACGATACGGCAAGCACTCGAGAAAAAAGAATACTGCTCGGCAGTCTTTCTCGATATCCAGCAGGCCTTTGACCGCGTGTNGAGGGGATCAATGTTACTTGGATGAGGGGATCAATGGGAGGGGATCAATGTTACTTGGATGAGGGGATCAATGTTACTTGGATGAGGGGATCAATGTAACTCGGCCGAGGGGATCAATGGCGGGCACGAGGGGATCACGGCGACACACCTTGCTGCAAGTGACCATCATCCCGCTGCAGAAGCGTAGATGAAGAACCGCCTCGCAGTGGTGTATGAGCGTGTTCAGCATGGCGCCTGTTGTTACGTCCCACACGCGGACTGTGGAGTCTGATGAGCCTGATATGATGGCGCGCTCGTCGTATTGTAGGCAGAGGACGGAGCCCGTGTGCCCTTGGAGCTCCTGGTGGGAAAAAAGAAGATTGAGAAACTATTTATCTATAGTTAACTAGGTAAATAGGTATATGAGCCGACACTAACCCATGTTAACATGGTATGGTGAAGTCAGAAAATTGATATCTTCATTTGATGTATGAAAATTAAAAAAATTAAAATGATGCTACCAATTTTCTGACTTCACCATACCATTTATATGACCATGTTAACATGGGTTAGTGTCGGCTCATATACCTATTTACCTAACACCCTGTAGAGGCAACGTAATATGTATGTACAGCAGTGTAATTCGTGACACCCAAAGTAGCCAAAAAGTTCGCAACACGTCTTTCAAATTCAAATTATTTATTTGCAGAATGTGGTACATTAGATGTTACATAATGAAATGGAGCAGGACACATTCGCCAGATATGAACCAGCATGCAAATGTTTTACACAAGTCAATTTATTATTAATTTAAATTTATATCTTTATTACAATTGGAATAAGGATGTATTGTCAACTTTTTGGCTATTTTGGATGTCATGAACTATCCTACTAATATTATAAATGCGAAAGTTTGGATGTTCGGCGCAACCACGACTGACTCCCCGATTATCCATGATAAATTTTGTCAGTGTGTGCTTGCGCGCCGCATACGTATTGGCGCGCTCACATACAAACCGCGCTCGGTGCGTTTCTATGAAGATGACCTACTCATTTGTATTTACTCTTATAATATCCAGACCGGGAATATAACTTTTGACTATTAACTACAAAAATATTGAACTCAAATGGTAATGATATCAATCATAGACAATCAGCCTTACCTTGACACACTGTAAAGTTTTCCTGTCCCATATTTTGATGGTGTTGTCTCTGAGCCCAGAGACAATTTTGTTGTCGTCGTATTGTAGGCAATACACGCCTTTGGAGTTTTCAGATCTGCAATTTATCCTCTGTGGACAAAACGTACAATTTTTAGCACATAGGTTCCTGAAATAAAGGTTCAAGAGCTAAAAGTGCTATGGAGAGGGCTATGCTCGGTGTTTCTTTACGAGATCGAATTAGAAATGAGGAGATCCGTAAACGAACTAAAGTCGCTGACATAGCCCGACGGATTAGCAAGCTGAAGTGGCAATGGGCAGGGCACATAGTACGCAGAACTGACGGCCGATGGGGCAGAAAGGTTCTGGAGTGGATCTACCGGAAAACGCAGCGTGAGACGTCCACCCACAAGGTGGACCGACGACATCATAAAGGTAGCAGGAAAGCGCTGGACGCAGGCCGCTACTAATCGGGTAACATGGAAAGCATTGGGGGAGGCCTATGTTCAGCAGTGGACGTCCTGTGGCTGAGATGATGATGATGAGCAAAAAACTACAATAAATCAGGTTTGCTGTATGGGAGCCCCTCTTAAATATTACTTTTATTTAGTTTTTAGTTCTATTTTGTTGTTATAGCGGCAATAAAAATACAACATCGGTGAAAATTTAAACAGTCTAGCTATGATGGTTCATGAGATACAACCTGGTGACAGACAGACAGCAAAGTTTTAGTAATAGGGTGCCATTTTTACCCATTTGGGTATGGAACCCCAAAAATCATCCTACCTCGGTGCAAATCATCGGGCCTGTAGGGCCATCTTTTCGTCATACATGCATTATTTGTTTGTGTAAAGAGGTGTTATTGGTAAATCGATTTCAAACTCTAACTTTATTACTGTATTTTAAGCATTGCATGCCCGATATGGGTAGCACTGTCATCATCATCATCATTTCAGCCATAAGACGTCCACTGCTGAACATAGGCCTCCCCCAATGCTTTCCATGTTGATCGATTGGTAGCGGCTTGCGTCCAGCGCTTCCCTGCTACCTTTACGATGTCGTCGGTCCACCTTGTAGGTGGACGTATAAAATACTTGGGCAATAATTAGAAGTATTTTCCCCTATAGCCAGACAGTTCTGACAGTTCCAACTTCTTGCCAGACAGTTTTTTAGGGTAGCTCCCAAAGCCACCATGAACCAAACTTCATAATTCACCAACATTATATCCTATACTGGGAGCATATGCTGACAAACTTTCAGCTTTTATAAAATGACGTAGGTCTGGCGTTCACTAGCTCTTATTCTATAATAATTCTATTCCTAAAATGTGTGTGGCCTAAGAATGGAAGAAGTGTAACAGACCTGCAAGTTGTGTCTTCCCATCCGCCAGTTGTCCTCGATGGATCGTATGTCCTGTATGATTTTGGGGTAGAGTTGCCTGTAGAAAGAGTGGGACGGATGCTGGCAGCCCGGCTTCGGCTTGAACAGGTATTGTATCCTGGAACAAAATACTTTTATTAAGGGTGGATTCCACCAAACAAGAGTAAATATCAATCTAAGAATAAATCGTCAGTTATTCGACATTTTGATATATTATTATTTCCAATACTGAAACTGTCAATGAGCCAGTTATACCAGGAGTTATTCTCGGATAAAAGTTTGGTCGAATCAGGCCTAGTCTATGGTATTTTGGTCACTAGTTGACGCTAGCCGCTGGTAGCTAGCTAGCTAGCTGGTGAATGCAAATGCGACATTCTTACTCGTAGCTTCAGCGCTAACCAGTTGGCGTTACAGTAGTGACTGACTAGACCTTGATATACAGTGGCGCCACCCTAGTAAGTATAACTGCGGTATTCCTACTACCGCTTTAGCAATCTTTCTTCTTGATTCCAAGTTCGCACTCTCTCTATGCTCATTTCCACTCTCGTTGATTCAACTCACCAGCCGGCCATGGCCATCTTGATTTCTCTTGCATCAGCTGCCAGAGCAATGTCGACCTTGTGTCTCTAGCAATAAGACGCACACTCATCAAACTCTCGACTCCAAGCTCGAACTTTCGTTCTTCCCATTTAAGACACTTCAACTGACGAGATATGCCAGAGCAATAGCGACCGTATCTCCCTAGAAATAAGACGCAAACTCGCTTGTCTCTCGCTCCCGCGTCCGCACTTTCGTTCTACTCCACCTGCCAAAGCAATATCGACCTTATTCCCTAGCAATAAGACTCACCAGCCGCGCCGCTCGGCCAGTCCGCGCCACAGCGAGTCGGTGCGCACCTTCCGCTCGACCAGCTTCTTCCACAGCATGCCCTCAGATATGACGCGCTGCCACTCGCGGCACACTATGATAGTAGTGGCAGAGAAATTGTCACCTTATATCCCTAGCAATAGAGTCTCATTGATTCAACCCAGCCTGCCATGGCCATCTTGATTTCTCTTGCATCAGCTGCTAGAGCAATAGCGAGCTTATATTTCTAGCAATAGAGTCCTAATCAACACACGAGCCTGTCATCATGATTCTAAATCCACACTTTCGCTCTTCATATTTCTGTAATTTCAACTGACGCCTGGTGTCAGAGAAATAGCGACCCTATGTCATTAGCAATAGAGTCGCATTGATTCAATTCACCAGCCTGCCATGGCCATCTAGATTTCAAATTCACACTTTCGTGCTGCCCATTACTCTTGCATCAGCTGCCAGAGCAATATAGACCGAGTGTCCTTAGCAATAGAGTCTCATTGATGCAACTCATCAGCCGGCCATGGCCATCTTGATTTCTCTTGCATCAGCTGCTAGAGCAATATCGACCTTGTGCTTCTAGAAATAAGACGCACACTCGTCAAACTCTCGACTCCAAGCTCGAACTTTCGTTCTTCCCATTTAAGACACTTCAACTGACGAGATATGCCAGAGCAATAGCGACTGTATCCCCCTAGAAATAAGACGCAAACTCGCTTGTCTCTCGCTCCTACGTCCGCACTTTCGTACCGCCCATGTTTCTACTCCCTGTCAAAGAAACATCGACCTTATTCCCTAGCAATAAGACTCACCAGCCGCGCCGCTCGGCCAGTCCGCGCCACAGCGAGTCGGTGCGCACCTTCCGCTCGACCAGCTTCTTCCACAGCATGCCCTCAGATATGACGCGCTGCCACTCGCGGCACACTATGATAGTAGTGGCAGAGAAATAGTCACCTTATCTCCCTAGCAATAGAGTCTTAATCAACGCACGAACCTGTCATCATGATTCTAAATCTACACTTTCGCTCTTCCCATTTCTGTAATTTCAACTGACGCCTGGTGCCAGAGAATTAGCAACTTTGTGTCCTTAGCAATAGAGTCTCATTGATTCAACTCACCAGCCTGCCATGGCCATCTAGATTTCAAATACGCACTTCCGCCCTACCCATGTCTCTAGCATCAGCTGCCAGAGCAATATAGACCGAGTGTCCTTAGCAATAGAGTCGCATTGATTCAACTCATCTGCCCGCCATAGCCATCTTGATTTCTCTTGCATCAGCTGCTAGAGCAATATCGACCTTGTGCAGCTAACAATAAGACGTAAACTCACCAAACTCTCGACTCCAAGCTCGAACTTTCGTTCTTCTCATTTAAGACACTTCAACTGACGAGATATGCCAGAGCAATAGCGACCGTATCTCCCTAGAAATAAGACGCAAACTCGCTAGTCTCTCGCTCCCGCATCCGCACTTTCGTCCCGCCCATGTTTCTACTCCCTGTCAAAGTAACATCAACCTTATGCCCTCGCAATAAGACTCACCAGCCGCGCCGCTCGGCCAGTCCGCGCCACAGCGAGTCGGTGCGCACCTTCCGCTCGACCAGCTTCTTCCACAGCATGCCCTCAGATATGACGCGCTGCCACTCGCGGCACACCAGCTCCGCCGCGCAAAGCGAGCGAGCGTCGAGGTATGACAGTATGTTCTCCGCTACGTGGTCTAGGCCTTTTTCTGTGGGAGAAAATATTTAATGTTATTATAATGTGTTGAGCAAGATCTGAAGCAGGACCATTCATTGTGGAAAACCTTGGAGGAGGCCTTTGTCCGGCAGTGGACGTCATTCGGCTGAAACGAACGAACGAGTAAGATCTCTCATTTTTAAGGAACTCCGAATGCAGTTGATATGATAGCAACATTACTAATGACATTGTACAAATCGCATGCCAATAGAAACTGTCAATTTTGGAAATATAGCATTATTTTTGGCATCAAGTTTACTGAGATCACTAGCTACATAAGAGGTGTCAATGCGGGCTTAAAGCTGTATATGTTAAAATTAAAATGTTGGCACAAAACATATTTTTATGTAGAGAATCGAAGTTAGTGACGTCAAATCTAGAGTAAGCTGCATATTACGCTTAACAACGCTTAACTCTATTCAATCTCGAAAAGTTTTGAGTTGAATTCTGTTAGGTTTTCAAAAAGTCGTCCATTGACCCCTTGCATCATTTCCCTACATTTTTAGGTGCCTTGTACATCTTTTGGCTGAAAAGCATAAGCCTAACACAGACCACTGATTTTTAGTCGGCCGATAGTTGGGCCCGATTCTAATTTGTATGAAGAATGAACTTGCACTTCCATACATGTCCAATTGTCCATGTTGATTAATTGCCCGACTTAATTATTGGCCGACAAAAAATCTGTGATCTGCGCCTAGGCTAATACATTAGGCTAGTTTCCTAAAAAAATTTTTTTAGTCCGTCATAATTAATATAAAAAAATATTGGACAAATAATTATGTTTTGAATTGTCAATCAAACAAATAATTACAAAGTTATAGTGCGTTGAAGTTCCGCGCGACGTCACAAAGTGCTGCACTTTTACGCACTCACTGACGTCACGAGCCTTTTCTTTAGAACTTAGCCACGCTTTATCTCTTTACATTTTCATTAGTTATAAAAAGTGAAAAATACGTGTCGAGTAGTATTTGATAAGCTAACTGACGGACTAATTAAAACTCTTGCTTTTTTACCCAGGAAACATCCCTTTTCTAGATCCAGATACTTACTCGGAAGCATACTAATGAAGTCCCTCTGCAGCATCGGCTTGAGGTAGGCGTTGATGTGGCCGTGTTGGTAGTGACACATACGAGCGAGCAGCTGCTCGACGAATTCAACCTGAAAACAAATATCTAGGTTAGATAATATTAGGAGATAGATATAGTTATAGATTGTAATTCACCAATAGGCTAGTTTTATTACGAATTTATGATGCGTTAAGTTTCGCGTGACGTCACAAAGTGCCACACGCACGCCTTGACGTCACGGGCCTCTTGTTTTAAACTTTGGGGCGCTTTCTCTTTCAATTTTCATCATTTTGAAAAAGCAAAAAATAAATGTTGAGTTATTTTCGATAAGTTAACCGACTGACACATTTAAAACTCTTGTTTTATTTACCCAGGAAACATCCCTATTGTAAACGAGATTGCTCGCTAGCTGCAACTGTCAGAACAGAAAATACATGAAATTGCATACACACACACCAGTCGCCTTTATTTGAGGCTTTCCCTTCCACAAAGGCAAGGTGTACCCACTTAAAATCTGCCCTTAGCGAGTTATACTCGCAGAATTGCTAAAATCAAGTGGCAGTGGGCGGGGCACATAGCTCGTAGAGACGATGGCCGTTGGGGCAGAAAAGTTATCGAGTGGCGACCACGGGCTGGAAGACGTAGCGTGGGCAGGCCTTCTGCTAGGTGGACCGACGATCTGGTAAAGGTCGCGGGAAGAGCCTGGATGTGGGCAGCGCAGGAAACCTTGGAGGAGGCCTTTGTCCAGCAGTGGACGTCATTTTGCTGAAACGAACGAACGAGTCAGGAACTGTAAGCTGTAGTATCAGCAGTTGCCTGAAGCATTCGTCTGCATTCCTTGCGCGGGCTGGCTCAGCAGAAAACAGCGAGCGGCTACACCAAAACGCGTTAGTTTCGGTTCTATCTGTCACTGTCGCTCATGCTGTCATCCCGCTTCGCGTGAGAGGGATGATAAGAGTGAGATAGCTATAGTCTGGTCTGTGAGCACGTAGAATTTTGTCCAATGACCCCAAGCTACCCATCCTTATCGCTCGCGCGTAATTATATTGCTGTCGCGACTGTGCGACAAGCGCCCGCAGTGAGTGTGCGAGCGCGACAGCAAAATATTTACGCGCGAGCGATAAGGATGGGTAGCTTGGGGTCATTTGACAAAATTCTACGTGCTCACAGACCAGGTTTTATACCTGGTCTGTCTCGTTCCACCGCGCGAAGTAGTTGAGGCAGGCGTCCCTTTCGGCAGCGTACGCGGCGCTGCTCGGCGCCGGCCGCACGCCCGTGTCGAGGCATGTCAGTGACGTCACCTGCGGAAAAACAGTGACGTCAGGTCGTTTAGTCTTCACTGCAAAAGCACGACATTATTATGCCAAAGGTAAATCTAAATAAAAAGGAGAAACTGACTGACTGACATATCAACGCCTAAACGGCTAAATGTAGGCACTTGAAATTTGGAAGGAACGTAGCTTAGGTACCGTAGAGGTGCACTAAGAAAGGAATTCTTCGGATGTCTTTCCCGAAAACTATAATCCGGGCCTTTTCAAGGCGAGAGTGAATAGGCACTTACAGGGCAGATATGTACCATCCTAGACCGCATCCCACCGCATCTCATCAGGTGCGATTGTGGTCAAATACCTGCCTTATTATGCANATCCCAACTAATATTATAAATGCGAAAGTAACTCTGTCTGTCTGTCTGTCTGTCTGTCTGTCTGTCTGTCTGTTACGCTTTCCCGCTTAAACCTCGCAACCGATTTTGATGAAATTTGGCATAGAGATAGTTTGAGTCCCGGGAAAGAACATAGGATAGTTTTTATCCCGGTTTTTGAAACAGGGACGCGCGCGATAAAGTTTTTCTGTGACAGACAAAATTCCACGCGGGCGAAGCCGCGGGCGGAAAGCTAGTTATGCATAAAAAAATTAAAAAATCCCGAAATACCCACGGGAACGGGAGTTAGCGGGAAAAATCATTTGTATGACAAAATCTAAACCGCGTAAGATAGATGAAGGGGGTAAAACGGGATCCACGCGTACGAAGTCGCGGGCGGCCGCTAGTAGAGAATATTGACGGCGCACTGTAGCAGACGAGGCGAAGAAAATCGGAAAAACTTGGAGTGAGATCAAACGCGAAACTCAAGACCATTGGTTCCCAAAATGGGGGGCGCGCCCCCCAGACGAGGCGCAAAGAACTTTAAAGGGGGGCGCGGGCCATCTGTGTACTTAAGTATAAAAAACCTGCGACCGCTAAGAGAATGCATTCCAGACTGCTCGATACGACCTGTAGCGAATTGTCATCGTGTGGTTGGCAATACTGCTTTCGCTACCAACATGAAGACTCGCTAGGCAGGCGGCCGCCAGATGACACTTCGTACTATTAGACTCGCCCGCGAATTATAAATAATTGTGCAAGAAAAATGTACTGTGTTTAAGCTCATGAATAAACCACGTTATCAAACTTAGCGCGAGTTATATTTTCTTAGAACCTCTACAGAAGTCACTGATACAAGATGTTTTATGGTGCCCACCAACCGGCACCAAATTGGTGACCCCGACGCGTCTGACCACGAAACAAGGTTACAGTGCAAATACATTACTGNGCAACCTCCTAGCCCTGTAGTTACTTTGCCCCAGCAGCCCATAACCACTCGATCTGGTCGAAAGGTTAGATTTAAGACTATTTTAGATTTGTAAATAAGCTTTAATTATTATTTTTATTTTTCAAATTTATAAAAACAAAGGATATCATTATCTTATTTTCAAATGTCTGTATGTAACATAGTTTAAGTGTATTGTTTCCTTTGGTTTTCTTTTTTCTCACGAGTTGTGATGTGTAAATAGGTTAAAATGTTTTACAAGTTCACTTATTTTATTTGTATGAACACCACTCCTTTACATTAATGTTAAATATAATTGTTATAAATCTCGGTGTACTCATAGTAATTCTCCTTTTTACTCCGTGGGGGGGTGGTGTAGCGAATTGTCATCGTGTGGTTGGCAATACTGCTTTCGCTACCAACATGAAGACTCGCTAGGCAGGCGGCCGCCAGATGACACTTCGTACTATTAGACTCGCCCGCGAATTATAAATAATTGTGCAAGAAAAATGTACTGTGTTTAAGCTCATGAATAAACCACGTTATCAAACTTAGCGCGAGTTATATTTTCTTAGAACCTCTACAGAAGTCACTGATACAAGATGTTTTATGGTGCCCACCAACCGGCACCAAAGACCAATAAATAATCTTGACTGGAGGAGGGAGCGCGGAACTTTTTGTATGGTCTAAGGCGGTTATCACACTGCGCCGCGCTCTGCCGCGGTACGCGGGACGACAGATTTAATCATTGTATGCAAGTACCTCAGTTTGTATAGACAACACGCGCGGCACAACACACTGACAATGCGTCTGCGCGCGGGTTTTTTTAATTCGCGGCGCAGTGTGATAACCGCCTAAAGGGAGCGCGTCTCAAATAAGTTTGGGAACCAATGCTCAAGACTGAACGCGATGAAGGACTGTTGTGGACGCCCTCTCCATTTTTAGGGGACATAGGAAATTAAATAAAAAAAAGTAAATCCAATAGAGCAGGGGTGGCCAACCGGTCGATGGCCATGACAAAAAAAATTGCTGTTTCAAGAAGTTTGTAAGTGGTAGATGCCTAGGGTTTCGTAAGTAAACAGTAGATCTTTATGTCTAATCAAGTTGGCCACCCCTGAAATAAAGAGCTACTTAGTTCGCAATTACGAATTTTTAAATCCTGGGGAGGTCTGGAACAAGTATCATCTGGTCATTTAGACCTACATTGCTTGCATCTTGCGCAGAAAAAATCAAAACTGTGAACCCTAAAAATTAGACAACAGCTCTTGAGGAAAACAATATGAAATGGTTTTCCTTATTCTATGATATCTGTAGTCTACATACCACCATCATATCATACAGGTACGTTATTAAACATGACTAAGCATTTCTAAAAAGTGACATCTCACTTCCAAGACTTATTTTCCTTGTGCCATTATACACAAAGTGTTATGTCTTATTATTATCTATTTTATGTTGTTTACCTAAATAGGTGCTGCCTCATCTCTCCTAGACAAAATAACATTGATATTTGTGACAGAATCAATTTCATTATTAGTTCACGGAAAAAATTAGTTAGCTAGCTAAAAAAGATAGCTAAATGACATCTTTGGCTAAAACAGTCTTATGTCTTACTTTATCTGGGATGACTGTTACTGATGAATATACTTTAACTTTAACAAACGACAAAAATCTTTCAAACTCCATACAAATTATGGTTATGGTCATGGTTAAAAAAAGATGGTGCAACTCAGCCTAAGTTAGCCTTAAGTGTGTCAGTGAGAGTGACACTTCCTTCAGGTGTGTTGTTTTCAAAATATCCTACGATATAGCAAGCAATGACTTTCAAATGCAAAATCTATACAGGGTGGCTAAAACAGTGAGGTCTAAAAGAAAAATTTAGATTCCTTACATGAAGATGTATCTAAATCATTCCCTACATGGGGGTTCTAAACTAAGCAAAATCATAGAACATATGTACATGGGGGTGATTTAGATACACCTTGATGTAAGGAATCTAAATTTTTCTTTTAGACCTCACTATTTTGGCCACCCTGTATTGCTATTCACACATTACATTAAGATGTTCAAAATAATAAAGGACAGAATAGATTAATTGTCTAAAAATTGGACTCATGGCTCTCATTACTAGTGCCAGCTGTTTTAGGGTCTTCACTGATATCGTTCGATTACCTTCAACAATGTGCAACCGTTTCTGACTCATTGACTCATTTGTCACAGTGATTGTATTGCTCCACCAATGAATTACAGTGTACAGTCAGTGTGAGCTCAGGTTTCTTGCAAAATAGTAGTAATCTTACTAATATTATAAATGCGAAAGTTTGGATGTCTGGATGTTTGTTACTCTTTCACGCAAAAACTACTGAACGGATTTTGTTGAAACTTTACAGTATTATTGTTTAAAACCCCGAATAACATATAGGCTATAATTTATCTGTGACACTAAATTTCATGCAGGTGAAGCTGCGGGAAAAGCTAGTTACAAATATTTAAGACACTAGTTTTAGTTTGATATGCCGTTTTTTGTGTACAAGTTAAATAAAAAGGGTTAGTGTATTGTTGATTAGTTAATTTGTGATTTCCTCTTATTGCATGATAGATCTCTTGAGTGTATCAAGTTAAGATATGCTAAACATTGTTTGTATGTCAGGGAGAATTGAAAACACATTTATTTTTGTTTATACCTTGTTAGTGAAAAATCTATGTGTATGGATAACAGCACATTAATGTACTAATATAGTCTCAAAGTTCAAATTGTTACTAACCAAACTATGGACTGCTTTTGTTTGAAAATAAATTATTTTTATTTTTTTATTATTTTTATTAATGTAAGCAAAGTGACATCTTAGGTATGATTTTGGAATACAAATGTATAGTATGATGAACTATGATGTGCTGGATATTATGTTCTTACTGGAAATAGCTTAGACCCTGTATAAGCTACATTTAATAAAAAAATTAAGACAGTTTTGGCAGCAGAACTGTTTTGGTCTCTATAAGCATTTTACTAAGTGGACTCCCTTTCACCTAGTTTTTTACAATAATTACAACTAAAATATGCTGCAAAGGTGCTTTTTAAATCATAGAAGAGTCCTAATTGATTGTGAGATGATGATTATGGCAAATACTGCACTAGGGAACACTTTCTAACAACAATAAAGACAATTTGCAGTTATTACAAGCCCATACATCCCTAGAACTGGTTGGCTGTAGTCAAATGCATAACACACATGTCGTAACGACTGCTTTACACGCTCAAATAACAAGCACGACCAGCATTATGTCATAAAATGAGCATTGTCTTCAGAATCATTGCGAAACAAAACCTAAGTAGGACACTCAATTTTGCATGAACAGCTAAGAGATGAGCAATCAATTTTAAGATAAATCACTAAAATGAACCTCAATGTACGTTATTAAGCCATTTATTTCAATACAACAACTAGTGACCGACCGAATATTCGTTTTCGTTTTCGTTTTCGGCCATTTTCGGCCAAAAAATGGACATTCGGCCATATTTTCGTTTTCGGCCAAAAACCAGCCGAAGCTTCGGCCAAACCGAATACCAGAAATACGTGAATAAGATGGTGACGTTTATCGTTCCAATATCTTTATCCAAGTTCAAAATTGAATACAAATAAAACCAAAGAGTTTTAATTAAGTTTAATTGTTTCAAAATAGAGTCTAATGCAGATTTGAAATACACCATTAGTCACTAGTCGGGAGCCTACAGACTTTTCGCAGTTGAGCAATAAGTATTTGAAATGCGACGAACCATGGATCGAGTGCGTCGCGCTTTTCGTACTCATTTCAATATTCAGCGATTGAATGACGGCGCAAGCATCATATCAACAACTTACCTCATCGTGAGTGCAAAAGTTCAAGCAAGAAAGAAGTCGTCCACAGAATTCCTCCAAACCCATTAAACTCAGTAGCGACGCCAAACGGGTGGCCCAAGTTCAAGACGAAATTATGCGGAATTTGCATAAATCAACAAGTCAATTGTATTGTCGCANAGGAGTATGAAGAATAATTGTACCAAGTTTCGTTAAAATCCGTCGAGTAGTTTTTGTTTCTATAAGGAACATACAGACAGACAGACAGACAGACAGACAGACAGAAAGACAGACAGACAAAAATTTTACTGATTGCATTTTTGGCATCAGTATCGATCACTAATCACCCCCTGATAGTTATTTTGAAAATATATTTCGTGTACAGAATTGACCTCTCTACAGATTTATTATAAGTATAGATGACTGTTACTGATGAATATCTAAGGCTGGGTAGCACCATCTTACTTTAACTTTAACAAACGTCAAAAATCTGTCAAACTCCATACGAAAAACACTGGTTGGTTATGGTTTATGGTTAAAATAAAATGGTGCAACTCAGCCTAAGTTAGCCTTAAGTGTGTCAGTGACACTTCAGGTGTGTTGATTTCAAAATATCCTATGATACTTATAGCAAGCAATGACTGTCAAATGCAAAATCTATTTTGCTATTCACACATTACACTAAGATGTTAAAAATAATAAAGAACAGAATAAATTGTCTAAAAATGAGACTCATGTCATGGCTCTCATTATTAGTGCCAGCTGTTTCAGGGTCTTCACTGATATCGTTTGATTACCTTCAACGGTGTGCAACCGTTTCTGACTCATCTCATTTGTCACAGTGATTGTATTGCTTAAACAATGAATTACAGTGTACAGTCAGTGTGCAGCTCAGGTTTCTTGCAAAATAGTAGTTATTACAACTACACTCAACATCAAATAAATCGCACCTTCCTGACGCAAACTTTAAAGAACTTCTTCTGACACAATCATGGTACCCCAACAATATTGGTGTTATTTGAAAGCTCAATAAATAAACTTAAAGAAAAATGCGACTAGAACCTTGAAGTTACCATAAATGTGACTTGAAAAAAGACCTTACTTGGGGCTCACCTCTGGGATCAAGTAGACCAATTTTTATGGTTATAAAACAAAATAATGATCTCACGTGTCCTCTTTAACAGATGGATAGCGATTAATCCCAACTTAACAGTTCTATAGCCATAAAAGTTGGCTCAAGCGTAACTACCTATTTTTTGAAGAAGTGACTCTGGATTCCTCTAAAGACACATTTTTGGGGTAAAAACCTTTCCTTTAGTGAAATGAAGTTTAGAGCTAGGCTTTTAAATGGTGCCAATATTGGTGGGAAGTGGGGATGCATACGTTTGAAAGTGCTTGTCGCGGGAGGTGCGATTTATTTGATGTCGAGTGTAGTAGTTACTAACGGCCGCCCGCGATTTCGTACGCGTGTATCCCGTTTTACCCTCTTAGGGGTGGAGTTTCGTAAAATCCTTTCTTAGCGGATGCCTACATTATAACATCTACCTGCATGACTAATTTCAGCCCGATCAGTCCAGTGGTTTGGGCTGTGCGTTGATATATCACTATGTCAGTCAGTCAGTCACCTTTGAGTTAATTTAGATTTTTGATATGCTGTTTTTTGTGTACAACTTAAACGGAAAGGTTTAGTGTATTGTTGATAAGTTAATTTGTGATTTCCTCTTATTGCATGATAGATCTCTTGCTTGAGTGTATCAAGTTAAGATATGCTGAACAATGTTTTTATGTCAGGGAGAATTGAAAACACGTTTATTTTGGTTTACACCTTATACAATGATGTAATATACTGAAAAATAAATGTGTATGGAAAACAGCATATTAATGTAAGAACCGTGACATCTTAGGTATGAATTTGGAATACAAATTTAAAGTATGATGTGCTGGATATTATGTACTTAGTGGAAAAAGCTTAGACCCTATATTATAAGCTACATTTAATAAAAAAAATTAAGACAGTTTTGGCAGTACAACTGTTTTGGTCTCTATAATAAGCATTATACTAAGTGGTCTCCCTTCACCTAGTTTTTTACAATAATTACAACTAAAATATGCTGCAAAGGTGCTTTTTAGATCATAGAAGAGTCCTAATTGATTGTGAGATGATGATTATGGCAAATACTGCACTAGGAACACTTTCTTACAACAATAAAGACAATTTGCAGTTATTACAAGCCCATACATCCCTAGAACTGGTTGGCTGTAGTCAAATGCATAACACACATGTCGTAACGACTGCTTTACACGCTCAAATAACAAGCACGACCAGCATTATGTCATAAAATGAGCATTGTCTTCAGAATCATTGCGAAACAAAACCTAAGTAGGACACTCAATTTTGCATGAACAGCTAAGAGCTGACCAATCAATTTAAAGATAAATCACTAAAATGAACCTCACTGTACGTTATTAAGCCATTTATTTCAATACAACAACACCACTAATACATTTTTTTGTTGTTTTTATAACGTAACCATGGCTTCCATTACGAATTACATCCTATGTTTACGCGAGATATTGCCAAGTTTTAACGATTGTACTGCCAAATAACGGTTCGAATAGTCTCGAGAATGAGTTCATGAATAAGTTATAATGTTAGATTTTGATGAAAAAACTAATATTTTAAACATCCGCAATGCAGAGCACGAGAGGTTTACTTGTACTCGTCAAGGCTTTTAACTGTCATGTAATTGTAAAATTATGTATTTTAAACAATTCTTACAACGGTTGCATCCAAAATACATGGAAATCATCAACGTTATTTGGCTGGGACCATCGTAAAATAAAAAATAGTCCATAGCTTCGAACGGTACAGGGCTAAAGATGGCGGAACCAGCCATGACATTACGGTATGCTCTCATTAAATTTTACTGGCTTACCTGCGGCGGTATGGTGTCTTCTATCATCCGTTCAGTCTCCATTTCTGTTATTTCACAAAACACATCAATGATAGTCCACTATAAACTCCACTAAAATAACCAAATCACAATCGCTAAATATTCATCGCTCGCATGACGTCAAGACTGGAATTGTTTTTTTTGTGAACGGCAGCCAAACGGTAGAACACGGAGTGTGAAACTATACAGCTCAATAAAAATCTTGTTGGAATCTAAAACTGTCGCAATTTAGATAACAAAATATTGATAAATTGTAGTTATGCTTTTTAATTATTACTAAAGCAAAATTTATTACAATTTGTTATCTTGATGTAGATGTTCTATAATCTCGCTTTGAAGAAATAATCCCTAATAAAATGCGGCTCTTGCACGTAAAATGGAACGTTGTTAATACGTTTTGTTAATGCACTAAACAATATAAAAACCACTTTTACTATTATTACTATAGCTTTTCATATGTATACAAAGCTAAAATTAAATAAAATGTTAAATTAATATAAAAATGCGCTCTATAAAGCTACGAAAATCTTAAAACTAAAGTCAATAATTATTTTTTGTTGTGATGTTAACGGAATGAATAAAACTCAACCAATGCCTACGTCATTGACAAAACTTGATAGGTGTGTTTCACAGAGCAAAGTAATGTGTTTCTTTTTTGAATTTCTGTTTATATTGTTACGTATGGAATCATTATACAAAAAAGTAGTGAACATTCCAAGATAGGTATTGTCCGGGAGCGTTAATGTTAAAATATTTATAAGCTATTACTAGAAAGAAGCACGCTGTTACTTTTATTTTCGTTTGTCAGTCAAGTGAAGGAAATCTCATTGAATTTTCAATTTTGTGATCTTACTTGGATTATTTTTAACTTGTAATGATACGAATAAACTACTCGAATATTGTGCGATAGCTTAGCTGTGTCTCTCTAAAGGAGACAATCTTATTACCGAATCACGACTGAACATAATTTCATATACACGCATCACAAAGTAAAGTTTGTTTAAATTGTTTGAAATAATACATAATGTAAATCATCCTGCGATAATTCTGCAACTAGTGTTGCCTATTTCACCAACGGATACCTTGCTGGTGCGTATTAAAACAATTATTTGTAGTTCTTTGCTAAAAGTTGTGATATCTACTTATTAATGTTATGTAAATAAATTAGTCATTACCTTGCCATTCTATTAGAATGGACTATAAATTTGGAAGTCAATATTGATAAAATTGTTGCTTACGAACAAGTTTATAAGTAAGACCTAACAAACAAGTTTTAAATAAAAATAAAGCATTAAAGCAAAAAATTCATTGATTTATCTGAATGTCTGTATGTTCCTTGGTCTACTATTGACAGGTTGAATGAGAATCACTATTCAATCAAACAAGAAAGAGTCAAGCTAGTTGCACTCTTACTTTAATAACAAACGTCAACAATCTGTCAAACTCCATACAAAAAACACCGGTTATCATTATAGTATTAAAGTAAAGTGGTACAAGTCATCCTTAATCCTCATTTTTTGTTGTAGGCAGACAAAATGTTATCAGACGACAGAGTGGAGAACAGACATGGGCCTCCCGGAGTCAATTCAAGGTCTCTCAGCGCTGCTCATTCCGCTGCAGATCTTGAGGTAAGATACGTGGAGTTTCTCCGTAGTTTTTACAGTTCCTGAGATGGAATTTTAAATTTAAATTTTTAAAATGTAATAGAGTAGACTTTGTATGGTTGACAGCACATCTATCTATTGTGTTGCAAAGTTGTAGTCATTACAATTATTATAAATGCATATTATTGAAATTCCATCCATAATAAACCCAGTTTGAATGAAAAAACTAAAGTATCTCATGTACCTATTTCTTTTTTGTTTTTCATTTTTGTAAAAAACTTATTATTGAATGTTTTTTAAAGCTAACAATTTTCCTTAAATCATTTTTGGTTTAATCATTATCTAAACCAAAAAAAGCAAATGATACATTATGCATTACTTATAGAAAAAAGGTGTTCATTACACAAAAATAATTTATTTTAGAGACAAAATAAATATCCTCATTAGGTAACAAATTGCATGACAAAAGTATGTAAACAGGAAAAACTTATGAGGAAATACTAAATGATCATTCTATTATAGATTTTTTATAGCTGCAATATTTTTACCTGATCTGATCAGTTTCTTTTTATTACCTGTTCACCGTAAGCATAAATATTATAAGTAGGTAAATTGTATCTGGGTCATTCCATCNAATGACCCATCTGCAAATTTTTTAGGACTTATACGCTAAAAATCGCGCGGGTGCCTGCACGGGAGTCCTTTATTTTGTATCGAAAATACTAAATAGTATGAGTGGCGGGGCTAGGATGCGCGACGTGATAAAATCTTATTGGTGATTTTAGATGAAAAATGTATGGGCCTATAGCGTAAAATCGATAAAATGCCATGATAAGAGCTTATCTTCTACACGCGCAACGGGGGGCATGCGTGCATTTAAATTTCATTTTGTCGCACGAGGCGGGTATTCGCGCTGAGCTTAAACGTAGGCCTTACAACGCATAAGCTAACTGCGCACCTCGCTGGAATGCGAATCTTCCTCCCACTCCCCCGCAAACCTCCCCTCGTTCGCCCCGTCCGTACTAGAGCGTCGGTGTGACGTCACGGCTTCCAGGTGCGCGATTAAAGGACGTAGCATATTTATCAACCGTAAAAGGTCATCGTAACCGTATCAACTCGAGGCGGTCAGTATTCTTTTTATGAAACTCCATACTGCAACGCACTCTGAAGCTTCAACAACACCAACGCGTGCAGATCGCCATCGCCGGCGCGATCAAAGACCAATGACAGATCGCGCGACCTGTCATTGGCCCCTGATCGCGCGACCTGTCATTGGCCCCTGATCGCGCCGTGATCGAGCCGGCGATATTGATCTGCACGCGTTGGTGTGGTTGAAGCATTACCATAACGTAAACGCCTCGCTTCGTGGATGACATCGCGAAAGGCGATGACAGCTTATGAAAGGCGATACGGTGTTGACTTGATCCCTATCCGAGTTGATAAGTCTGCTATGACCTTTAAGCATATCACCTCCTACGGAATCTTCAGGGAGAGTGGGAAAAAAGGCAAAAGATAAACTTAACTTACATCTTCTTCGTCGCTCGCTACACTCTTGCCAGAGTGGTCGTAACACCTGGTTTGGTGGCATTCCTCCCGCATTGCAGCCTTTCTTGTACACTCGTGGAGTGGACCATTGAGTGCGGTTTTGACCTGATCAGACTTAACTTAAAACTAACTATTTATTGAGCTTTCCGCCCGCGGCTTCGCCCGCGTGGAATTTTGTCTGTCACAGAAAAACTTTATCGCGCGCGTCCCTGTTTCAAAAACCGGGATAAATAAATATTAAATAAATTCTTTATTGAATAACTTATTGACAGTTTTAACAATAGGCTAATATAAAACTATAATAGGTAAAAGTACATACGTGCCTGAACTAAGAATTATAAACTATCCTATGTCCTTTCCCGGGACTCAAACTATATCTATTCCAAATTTAGGTTAGGTTAGTTTAAGACAGACAGACAGACAGAGTTACTTTCGCACTTATAATATTTATTAGTATAGATAGATTTTTCTTCTCCAGGTCCTCCGTGAAATAGACCACGTGTACTTCTCTCCTCCATCCGAGTTCGACGCGGGCCGCTATGTGTTGGAACACGCGCCCAGCCCGCCCACTCTGGAAGCCGTCGAGCAGATGTTCACCAAGCTCAAGCGGCAGCAGCAGGTCAGTTGGAGGCAGAAAGAAGGAGGTATCATCATTTCAGCGTAGACTTCCCTGGAGGCAGTAGGAAATACCACCATCATCATTTCAGCCCAGCCTTTAGCTCCTAGGTTCTCTGCTGGAAACAGTAGTCATTATCATTTCTTCAGCCTAGCATTAAGCTTCTAGGTCTTTGGCTGGACCTAGCAGGAGTTGCCATCATTATCATTTCAGGTTTGCAGTGTACTAAATAGTGACGCACGACGCAACGCTACGCGATGATACAAGCAAAGGATGCCATTGGTTTGATACCGGGTTCTCGCGCTTGCCTAAGTCAGCGACGGGTCAGACCTGACTGAGGACACAGCCTTAAAACCTAGTTCTTCATTGCTGAATGCAGATGGAAGATACCATTGTCATTTCAAGAGACAGTAGATCCAATGGGTTTGTCCCTACCCCCGTCGCATTATAAAAGACCACGTGTACTTCTCGCCTCCATCCGAGTTCGACGCGGGCCGCTACGCACTGGAACACGCGCCTAGCCCGCCCACGCTCGAAGCCGTCGAGCAGATGTTCACCAAGCTCAAGCGGCAGCAGCAGGTAAGCTAGTGGCATTGTGGACATCATTTCAGCTTAGACTTGGACTTCTAGGTCCCTTTGTTAGAGGCAGAAAGAAGGAGGTACCATCCATCATTCATCAGCGTTTCAGTAGCCTTAAGATCCTAGGTCCTTAGCTGGTGACTGTAGAAACGAAGTCACTTCGCGTAACAAGTCAGCCTAAGCTCCTATATCCTTTGCTAGTGGTAGTAAAAAAGCCACCAAGCTCAAGCGGCAGCACCATCTTACCTAAATCTGTCGCCATAACAACATTGTTGTGTTCCGACAGTTAAAGATAGCCATTCCTCCGTGGTTGAGGATTCCGAGTGAAGCTTGCTTACAGTCCCCGAAAGTTCTTCGTTGTGGACAAAAAAAATCCATCACTTCAGCTTAGCCTTAGAATACTACGTCTCATCCAAATCATCATCATCTTCACCATGTCAGCCACAGGACGTTCCACTGCTGAACATAGGCCTCTCCCAATGATTTCCACATCGCCCGGTTGGTAGCGGCCTGCATCCAGCGCCGTCCTGCTACCTTTATGATGAGTTAGAGCAAGGTTCTGGAGTGGAGGCCACGTACCGGCAAACCCAGTGTGGGTCGTCTACCCGCAAGGTGTAATCTCACTGATTAATTAACAAGAAAATAACAAGAAAATAAAAATAACAAGAGAGTCTTGAATTACCGGACTAGCTACATATCTTTTATTTGAAGCGGGATCGATTCTCATAATAGGTTCTTTTATCTTTTCCAGGTAGTCTCCGGCAAAGCGCTCCACCTGATCTCCCAACAGCGCGACAACTGCGACCGTGAGTTTGCCGAAATCCAAAACATTCGCGAACAGCTAGCCAACACCTTAGAGACCTGTCGCCAAGCTAGGGAACACCTGCGCAATTCCTCAAACCATTTGACTATCTCCACCTTTGTCATTCTAGCTAACGTGAGAAAGAGACAGATAATCCGTTCGGTGCTGAAATCTCTCGAACTGCTCCGGAGTTTGCGCAGCGTCGAAAGAGATGTCGCGGAGTTGCTTAACAAAAAAGAATACTTTGAAGCGATAGAACTCATTCTCAAAAGCAGAAAAGCGGCTGCAAATCACAAAGAATACACGTGCATAGCGGATTTAGCCACTAGATTGCAGGATACCTTAGATATGACGGAGGAAAAGTTAGATTCGGTGTTGTCATCAATATGCTACAATTTCGATGAGAAAACTTTTAGGAAATTGAGACGCGCGTACACTTTGTTAGGCAAAACTCAGGCTGCTATGGAGCAGTTACATATGCATTACTCTTCAGCAGTGAACGAGACCTCCATAGAGGCTGTGAAGCCGTATATAGGGGAGGTTTCGATGGAAATGAAGTTCCAAGATATGTGTCAAGCGGTGCAACCAACCAAAGCTCCTATATGCCTACTGAATCTATGCGAAAACCTGTTCTTGATCATGAGGAGTTACTACTTGCTAGTCAACTGGCATACTAAGCATGATGAGGAGGAAACGAGTCCAAGTACCAGTAATGTGTTTGAAATAGAAAGGAATGTCAGCAGGGAGTACATTAGGCAGAAGTTAAAAGCTGGGCTGATCAGGATATGGCACGACGTCCAGGCTAAGGTGTCCACGTTTTTGAAAAGCTCCGGCTTGGAAGAGTACCCTTTTGAAAAGTTTATACAAATGCTAGGAATATTAAGGAAATTGACGCAAGTGGCCGAAGTGTTTTGCGGCGACAAGTCGGACCTTCTGCAAGATTTTATCAAGACGCAGAGCGTTTTGTACATCAAAAACTACCATAGAGGCAGGATGGAGGAGTTGAAACTCTTTTTGGAGAACGAGGGTTGGGAACAGTGTCCTGTCAAGTCAACTTTCAACCTGCTAAACTTGCAAGAGTTTAAGCAGTTCAAGAAATATTTAAATCCGAAATCAGACACGTCTATGATCAAAACGCTATCAGATGGAACCTCCTCCGTACATTCCCAAGAGGACAGCGTGTATATTGTGAAATATTTCAACCAAAAAACAAACCACACACCTTTCGAGATCTTCCGTAACGAAAACGTAACTAACGACGACATTTTCGGCCTAGAACCTGAATTGGAACCCAGTGACGAGTCAGATGATGAGCCTGAAGAATTGAAAAGGGAATTCGTTGATGAAGTTGACAGACACGAATACACAACCACAAATAACAACGAGAAGATTCTGGAAAGCCCTTCGAAGATCAAAGAGAGCGTCATAGTAACGAATACCACTCTATCAGTGCTGAGAAATTGTGGACAGTACTTGCAAATCTGCAGGTACCTTCCCCAGATTTCTTTAGAAGTGGTCATGCTCATGAACCAGTTGTTTGACTACTATTTCTATACAGTCCACCTGTTTTTCACGTCAGATTTGGATGTGGCATCTACAACCTTATACAGTACAAAATTGAGTGCATCCTTGAAGAGGATATCGAATAGTATCGACACAACTTCAGGGGACGGTGATGGAAAGGCGTTTTTATGTCCGGACCTGCCTCAGCACTTGGATATGAATTCAGAGGAGACTTTACATGGTCTGACCGAGAGAATTGTGGCAGTTGAAAGCGTGATATTCCTGGCTAAACAGTACGAGTTGCTCCAACCGTATTTGGAGTCCATAGTAGCGTCACATCAGAAGCTGATTTTGGAGCATTTTAGAGACAACACGCTGGCTGTAGTGGTAGACCTACGAATGCCAGTATACATGTGTTCAGCATCTAAAGCTGTCGACGCGAGATCGGCTCTTATCGCCATGTCCCAAGTGAGATGGGACGTGAAAAACGTCGCAGTGGAACATAGCCCTTACGTGGACATGATAACGCGCAAAATCCAAGTCTTCGCTTTACGTCTCGAAAACATATCCGCCAAAGTGACTCTGAACATCGAAGTGCTGAATTCTATCTGGTCTATGGTCTCAAAATTCATAGTCCATTTGCTGGTCGAAGGGTTTTCTAACGCTTCCAAATGCTCGAACGGGGGGAGAGGTCTCATGCAGTTAGATTATCGGCAGTTATTCGTGAAATTAGAAAAGATATCTGGGTTGAAACCTATTCCGTATCAAGACTACGTTGACAGATATGTGAAAGCGTATTATTTACCAAGGAAAGGTCTAGAAGAATTCGTAAGAGAGAGGACTGAATATTCCAATAAGCATCTCCTAGCGTTGATCACGAGTGCTTGTGAAAATAAGAGGGACAGGCAAGCTTTAACGGCGATAATTGAAGGCAAAGACGCGCCATCTTGAATTTATTTGGATGATTTTCCTAAAATGTACTTAATTAATTTTTAAAAAGCTTAAAACTGGTTTATTTAATTTAAATAAAATAACTAGTCCCAAAAAGTTGAACTTGTTCGTGACTGCACATCAAATCATGCCTACATAATATAGTTATCCGACGATCGAAAAAGATACATTTTATCCCTAACTAACAAATAAATATGACAAAAGAACTGGTTGATCTAGCCTTAGTGGGGACTACAAAATTGTTCTGTCCTTGTTAAATAGCGCAAAATTGATATAAATTAATTAATTTGTCAAAATAAAGTCGAATATTAATGGTACAAAATTATGTCTTAGGTATAAGATATAAAAATGCATATAATCCTGTATGTTAAAATATAGCTTACTAATTATTTTCATCTGATTTAATATTATGTTCATAGATTATTGATTTAATTGATCCATAGTTCTCAATTCGTTTTAGTTATTTTATGAAATTAATTTTATCTTTGCAAAGCGATCTGAGTGGGACTGAAATTTTATATGGTCCTTCGAGCCGGATAAGTCATCTTATTAATGTATTGTACTTAATAATTAACAACTGTGAAAGTCACAAACTGAGTTTATGTAGTTATATGAAATAAGTACAGGTAACCATTAATGTTATGAAATGAATTGTCTAACAACCAAGTTTCTTTTATGGCCAAGACCCGGAAACTTAAGGCCAGTTGTTTTTTGTCACTCAGTGAGTGCGGGAGTGGTGACATTGACATCATCATCATCATCAACAGCCCTTTACAGTCCACTGCAGGACTATGAGCCTCCTCTACTATAGTGGAGGGTTTTGCCATAATCCCCACGCTTGGCAGGCGGGTTGGAGATCGCAGTTTAAAAGATTGATGTTTTTCAGAGAGCGCTGCTGCCCGTTCTCTGTTTGTTGTGTATAGTCCCTAAGTCGCCTCTTACGACACCCGCGGGAAGAGTAGGGGTCGGTGACAAATGTATTCTACTCTGCCGTCACCACACGGCTTGACATATTATGATGTGACAGAGCATACAAAAAATCTGAAAGACTGAAGTCTCTCTGACTTTTGACGTCACAAAAACACCCTCCCGTGCCCTCCCATGCCTCAGGCACTGACGCCCGTATTCACAAACGATGCTTGCATAAGTGAAGCAGCAAATCGAACGCACAGCGTTGAATAGAGCTCTGTGATTGGTCCATGTGTCACTGTGCGTCCACGCGCACTGTGAGACCTGATAGTAATGTTTGTGAATACGGGCGTGGTTCAGTTAAACTCTAGACCAGTGGTTCTTAACCGGTGGTCCGCGGACCACTGGTGGTCCCTGGAGGCATTCCAAGTGGTTCGCGAAGACATCGTAATAAACAAGTGACGTGACGTGATGAGTCGAGTCAACACAACGTAAACGGCGCACAGTGGGCGAGAAATGAACCTCCCCTTTCATAAGATTTTAAAAAAAAAAGTGGTCCTTGACAAGACAGAAATTTGGTAAAATGGTCCCTCGTGACTTAAAGGTTAAGAACCACTGCTCTAGACCTAGGTACTACAAGAATTAATTATATTATTTAACTGAAATGTACCTCTCTAAAATTAATTATTATCTTTTACTTTTCAGATGAAGTTTGTGAAAATCGTTGTGATTGATTTTTAATATTTATGTATATGTTAGAAAAAACTTAAAAATTCACAAAATATTCGCTTAAAAATTCACAAAAAATTAGTTTTGTACAGGAATGTATAGAAATCTCAAATTATTAATAGTTTAAGAATATTATTTTACTTATAGAAAAATGCATTAATGGAAATATACTGGTAATGTACTGGATTTAATTTATCTTTGAATTGGGATTATTCCCACTTCTCGTTCCCACTTCCCACCGCTGCAACTCCTGTGTAGCCAGGATCTACGGCATATTTAATATACAGGGTGACATTGCGAAGTATTGTCAAACTTTAAGGAGCCACTCAGAATCAGTAGGTAACCTAATCGATTTTCGAGAAAACATAAAAAAATATACGATATAGTCATATTGTTACATTATTTTATACAGCTTATTATAAAACATATTATTATGCACCAGCTGATGTTGAAGATAATAAAACTATAATATTTCGCATAATTTTATTCATAAATAAATAATAAACGTACTTAGTTAGATACATAATTTATTCTCTAAACTTATTAGGTACTTACATAATAAATAACTTACGACAAGAAATACTTGAGATCTTAAAATTCAGTTCACAAGTTTTTGATGTTATCATCATCATCATTTCAGCCACAGGACGTCCACTGCTGAACATAGGCCTCCCCCAATGATTTCCACATCGCCCGGTTGGTAGCGGCCTGCATCCAGCGCCTTTCTATTACCTTTATGAGCCTTTGCTGTCATAGCTGATTTTAATCCTCAACATTTTTATAAAGTTGACTCTGTTAGAATCGATAACAACTTACTTCAAAAAAATTCTTCCAAAAAGTAGAGTTGTTGCATTTGAGCAGTAGAATCAATCTTTTTTGTTTGATCCGGATAAAGGGACACCCTGTATAATACGTGAAAAGTTTGGAAGATTAGCCCCTTTCGTTCGTTTGTTTCAGCCAAATGACGTCCACTGCTGGACAATATTTTAACCCCTTAAGTACGGGCAATATTTTTAATTGGCCTTTTTCTATCGATTGACAATTGTTCCTATTCTAATATAGTTCTATAACTTATTGTCAGGTCATTATAGCCGAGTTAACCACCATCAGATGATGTTATTGTATATGTCGCTCAAAGAGAGTTGAGGCCATCAACACAAGCCAAGATTTATATTTGTACTAGCTTTCCGCTCGCGGCTTCGCCCGCGTGGAATTTGGTCTGTCACAGAACAACTTTTTATCGCGCGCGTCCCTGTTTTAAAAACCAGGATAAAAACTATCCTATGTCCTTTCTCGGGACTCAAACTCTCTATGCCAAATTTCTTCAAAATCGGTTCAGTGGTTTAGGCGTGAAAGCAAGACAGACAGACAGAGTTACTTTCGCATTTATAATATTAGTAGGATACGCTGAGACGCTAACTGCGCAATCTCTCGCTTGCAGACATTAAAAAAGAGCGAGGTAGCTAATTATTCCAAATTTGAACATAATGACGTTTAATTTGTTATTCTGTACTCAAATATTACACGAGAACACGTAGTTTGCCTCAACTTCCTTTGAGCGATGTATAGTTCACATTAGGGATGTTATGGATATTATGTAGTTTCGGTTATGGATATGGTTACGGATACGGATATTTTTTTATTTCGGATATCCGAAAGTTTCGGTTACGGTTACGGATATCTGTGCTTTAAAATGCAATTTGCAATAGTTGTCCAACACGGTTTATTCATGGCCGCACACTACATCGAATAAAAAGTAATAAAAAAATATACTAGATGGCATTTTAAAGGTAAATCAGGCTGTTATCCCTTTATATATTATAATGCTATACAAAAAACAATTTAAACTGTCTACATCCGAAACTATCCGAAACTTTTGAATCGGTTACGGTTTTGGATATCCGAAAGTTTCGGTTACGGTTACGGATATCCATAACATCCCTGGTTTACATAAAAGCCTTGGCATCTACCAATTCAATAAAAAAGTCCAGACACGGGCAACTTCGGTAGATGAAACAGTTTCGCGTCTTTGTAGTTACAGCAGAAGCTGGTGGTGCCATCGTCTCTCCAGGTCAACCAGGAGTATTCTTTCCTCTCGCACACATCCTCGCAGAAGGTCAGCTGGTCGGTGATGGTCGAGTTGTAGAAGGGAGAGTTGATGGATACGAAGACCACGGCCTTTCTAGTGAGGGGGTCGAAGACCAGCTGGAAAGAGGTGGATGGTAAGTGGATTTTGGAAAATCTTTTGTGAAAATCTTTCTTTTCTTCTTTTTCAGCCAAATGACGTCCACTGCTGGACAAAGGCCTCCCCCAAGGTTTTCCACAATGAACGGTCCTNAGGCTATAGTTAGAAGTTATCCGACGATTGAAAAATCAGCCCTTTAAATACATTTTATCCCTAACTAACAAATAAGTATGACAAAAGAACTGGTTGATCTAAAGCCTTAGTGGGGACTATAAATTGTTCTGTCCCTGTTAAATAGCGCAAAATTAATTTAAATTAAATAATTTGTCAAAAGATTCAAAGTCGAATATTAATGGTACAAAAGTATGTTTTAGGTATAAGATATAAAAATGCATATAATCCTGTATGTTATAGTATAGCTTAATAATTACTTTCATCTGATTTAATTATGTTCATAGATGATTGATTTAATTGATCCATAGTTCTCAATTCTTTTTAGTTACTTTATTAAATTAATTTTATCTTAGCAAAGCGATCTGAGTGGGACTGAAATTTTATATGGTCCTTCGAGCCGGATAAATAGTCTTATTAATGTATTGTACTTAATAATTAACAACTGTGAAAGTCACAAACGGAGTTTATGTAGTTACATGAAATAAGTACAGATAACCATGAATGTTATGAAATGAATTGTCTAACAACCAAGTTTCTTTAATGGCCAAGACTTGGCCAACTTAAGGCCAGTTGTTTTTTGTCACTCAGTGAGTGCGGGAGTGGTGACATTGACATCATCATCATCAACAGCCCTTTACAGTCCACTGCTGGACTATGAGCCTCCTCCACTATAGTGGAGGGTTTTGCCATAATCCCTACGCTTGGCAGGCGGGTTGGAGATCGCAGTGTAAAAGATTGATGTTTTCAGAGAGCGCTGCTGCCCGTTCTCTGTTTGATGTGTAGTCCCTAAGTCGCCTCTCACGACACCCGCGGGAAGAGTAGGGGTTGGTGACAAATGTATTCTACTCTGCCGTCACCACACGGCTTGACATATTATGACGTGACAGAGCATACAAAAAATCTGAAAGGCTGAAGTCTCGCTGACGTGTGACGTCACAAAAACACCCTCCCGTGCCCTCCCATATCTCAGGCACTGACGCCCGTATTCACAAACGATGCTTGCATAAGTGAACCAGCAAATCGAACGCACAGCGTTGAACAGAGCTCTGTGATTGGTGCATGTGTAACTCTGTGCGTCCACGCGCACTGTGAGACCTGATAGTAATGTTTGTGAATAAGGGCGTGATTCAGTTGTTAAACTCTAGACGTACTAAAGCCTGGTCCGTGAGCACGTAGAATCCCGTCCAATGACCCCAAGCTGCCCATCCTTGTCGCTCGCACGTAATTATGCGCTCGCACACTCACTGCGGGCGCGCGTCGCACAGTCGCGACAGCAATATAATTACGCGCGAGCGATAAGGATGGGTAGCTTGGGGTCATTGGACGGGATTCTACGTGCTCACGGACCAGGCTTTACTGTGCGTCCACGCGCACTGTGAGACCTGATAGTAATGTTTGTGAATAAGGGCGTGATTCAGTTGTTAAACTCTAGACGTACTAAAGCCTGGTCCGTGAGCACGTAGAATCCCGTCCAATGACCCCAAGCTGCCCATCCTTGTCGCTCGCACGTAATTATGCGCTCGCACACTCACTGCGGGCGCGCGTCGCACAGTCGCGACAGCAATATAATTACGCGCGAGCGATAAGGATGGGTAGCTTGGGGTCATTGGACGGGATTCTACGTGCTCACGGACCAGGCTTTATAAGAATTAATTATACAGGGTGTTAGGTAAATGGGTATATGAGCCGACACTAGCCCATGTTAATATAGGCATATAAATGGTATGGTGAAGTCAGAAATTTGATATCACCATTTTAACTTTTTTAATTTTCATACAAAACTAATTTTATAATATCCGATTTTTATGAAAATTAAAATAATTAAAATGAAGATATCAATTTTCTGACTTCACCATACTATTTATATGCCTATGTTAACATGGGCTAGTGTCGGCTCATATACCCATTTACCTAACACCCTGTATATTATTTAACTGAAATGTACCTCTCTAAAATTAATTATTATCTTATACTTTTCAGGTGAAGTTTGTGAAAATCGTTGTGATTGATTTTTAATATTTATGTCTATTTTAGAAAAACACTTAAAAATTCACAAGATATTCGCAAAAAAACTTTGTATTAGTTTTGTACAGGAATGTATAGAAATCTCAAATTTATTAATAGTTTAAGAATATTATTTTACTTATAGAAAAATGCATTAAAGGAAATATACTGGTAATGTACTGGATTTCATTTATCTTTGAATTGGGATTATTCCCACTTCTCGTTCCCACTTCCCACTCCTGCCTGTGTAGCCAGGATCTACGACATACATTATTACTATTTTTCCGCTCGCGGCTTCGCCCGCGTGGAATTTTGTCTGTCACAGAAAAACCTTATCGCGCGCGTCTCTGTTTCAAAAACCGGGATAAAAACTATCCTAGGTATGTCCTTTCCCAGGACTCGAAACTATCTGTATGCCAAATTTCATCAAAATCGCTTTTGTGGTTTAGACGTGAAAGCGTGACAGGCAGACAGACGGACAGACAGACAGACAGAGTTACTTTCGCATTTATAATATTAGTATAGATACAGGGTGACATTGCAAAGTGTTGCCAAACTTTTAGAAGCCACTCAGAATCAGTAGGTAACGTAATCGATTTTCGTAAGGAACAAAAAAAACGATAGTCATATTGTTTGTTATATTATTTTATAGAGCTTATTATAAAACATATTATTATGCACCAGCTGAAGACAATAAAACTAGAATATTTCGCATAATATTGTATAATTTTATTCATAAATAAATAAAATCGTACTTAGATACATAATATTCTCTAACTTATCACTAACATAATAAATAACTTACGACAAGAAATACTTGAGATCTTAAAATTACCAGCAAATCTTCAGGTTGCTGTTTTGACAAAAAGTTTACAACAAGTTTTTGTTGTTATCATCATCATCATTTAATTTTCAGCCATAGGACGTCCACAGCTGAACATCGGCCTCCCCCAATGATTTCCACATCGCCCGGTTGGTAGCGGCCTGCATCCAGCGCCTTTCTGTTACCTTTATGAGCCTTTGCTGTTTTAGGTGATTTTAATCCTCAACATTTTTATAAAGTTGATTCTGTTAGAATCGATAAAAATTTCTTAAATCCTCTATGGACTTATCTTACAAAAAGTAGAGTGGGCTAAATCTAGTTGTTGCATTTGAGCAGTAGAATCAATCTTTTTTGTTTGATCCGGATAAAGGAACACCCTGTATAATACGTGAAAAGTTTGGAAGATCCCTTTCATTCGTTCGTTTCAGCCAAATGACGTCCACTGCTGGACAATATTAACTCTTTACGGACAATATTATTTTATTATTCTTTTCCTTTCTATATCGATTGACAATAGTTGCTATTCTAAAATAGTTCTATAACTTATTGTCAGGTCATTATAGCCGAGTTAACCACCATCTGATGATGTTATTGTATAGGTCGAACAAAGAAACTTGAGGCCATCAACACAAGCAAAGATTTATATTTGTACTAGCTTTCCGCCCGCGGCTTCGCCCGCGTGGAATTTGGTCTGTCACAGAACAACTTTATCGCGCGCGTCCCTGTTTTAAAATCCAGGATAAAAACTATCCTATGTCCTTTCTCGGGACTCAAACTCTCTATACCAAATTTCTTCAAAATCGGTTCAGTGGTTTAGGCGTGAAAGCAAGACAGACAAACAGAGTTACTTTCGCATTTATAATATTAGTAGGATACGCTGAGACGCTAACTGCGCAATCTCTCTCGCTTGCAGACATTTAACAAGAGCGAGGTAGCTCGTTATTCCATATTTGAACATAATGACGTTTAATTTGTTAGTCTGTACTCAAATATTACACGAGAACACGTGGTTTGCCTCAACTTCCTTTGAGCGATGTATGGTTTACATTAGGGATGTTATGGATATGTAGTTTCGGTTATGGATATGGTTACGGATATAGGATTAATATTATACAGGTTTCAGTTACGGTTACGGATATTTTTTTATTTCGGTTTTTCGGTTACGGATATCTGTGCTTTAAAATGCAATTTGCAATAGTTGTCCAACACGGTTTATTCATGGCCGCACACTTTACATCGAATAAAAAGTAATAAAAAAATATACTAGATGGCATTCTAAAGGTAAATCAGGCTGTTATGCCTTTACATTTATAATGCTATACAAAAAACAATTTAAACTGTCTACATCCAAAACTATCCGAAACTTTTGAATCGGTTACGGTTTCGGATATCCGAAAGTTTCGGTTACGGTTACGGATATCCATAACATCCCTGGTTTACATAAAAACCTTGGCATCTGCCAATTCAATAAAAAAGTCCAGACACGGGCAACTTCGGTAGATGGAACACTTTCGCGTCGTTGTAGTTGCAGCAGAAGCTGGTGGTGCCATCGTCTCTCCAGGTCAACCAGGAGTATTCTTTCCTCTCGCACACATCCTCGCAGAAGGTCAGCTGGTCGGTGATGGTGGAGTTGTAGAAGGGAGAGTTGATGGATACGAAGACCACGGCCTTTCTGGTGAGGGGGTCGAAGACCAGCTGGAAAGAAGTGGAGGGTAAGTGGATTTTGGAAAATCTTTTGTGAAAATACATATAATATGTTTTAATAGAAAAATGTGTCAATCTCCAGATGGGAGCTACATGTTTCAAGAAGGACCAGGCCAGGCTTTCCTGAAAAATGGCCTTGCTTAGATATTGGCGTATCTAAGATAAAGAAATGTAGAAAATGGCAAAGCAAATAAATTATGAACTTAATTATACCTACGCTAAATTAATTATAGATTCATTCTTTAGTTTCAAATAAAGGACTTCCACTGCTGGACAAAGCCCTGTACTTCATGTCGTCGATCAATCGAGCAATGCGTATGGGAAGGAATCTGCTAAAATTGATAAAATAAGCCATACCAAGACCAACTTTATGTTAATTCTTAAGTGTCCAGAACGGAATATCCTGCCTAAGAAAATTGATATGTCCCTCCCCTCCCCGGAACAGACTGACTGACCGGGTCAGTGTGTAAGTGTGTCATAATGACCTTACCTTATAAAGATACAAAGGGACAGGCACAATCCCATTGTTATTGTCGTCTGCAGTCAGGTACAGCTCCTTGTGGGACCCGAAGCTCATGACGCCATGGGTTCCCGTGTACACCGTCACTGGTCTGCCTAGAGCGCTGATGCGGCGCTTAAGAGCCTGTGGGAAGAAAGTTGCATGATCTTCAGTCTCAGGATGTCCACTGCTGACGCCCGTGCCGTATTCACAAACGATGCTTGCTTAAGTGAGGTAGAAAATCGACCGCACAGCCTTGAATAGAGCTCTGTGATGGTTTGTGTGTCACCCATGTTTGTGAATAGGTACGGACGTTAATATAGACCTCCCCCAATGATTTCCATATCGGCCGGTAGCAGGAGGCTAGTAGAAACTCATTAGGTACGTAAGTAGGGTGTGGTGGTCGCTTACTATGATAGATGAGGCCTCCCATAGTAGGCCTCATAAGAAGGTTCAAGGTCACCCAAAGGGCGATAGAATGGGCTATGCTCGGAATTTCCCTGCGTGATCGAAGCAGAAATGAGGACATCCGCAGGAAAACCAAAGTGACTGACATGGCCCGCAGAATTGCTAAAATCAAGTGGCGGTGGGCAGAACACATAGTACGCAGAACTGACGGCCAATATGGGGCAGCAAGGTTCTGGAGTGGAGGCCACGTGGCGGAAAACGTAGCGTGGAACATCCACCCACAAGGTGGACCGACGACCTCAAAAAGGAAGGCGCTGGATGCAGGCGCCTACTAACCGGGCGATGTGGAAATCATTATGTTCAGCAGTGGACGTCCTGTGGCTGAAATGATGATAGACACATTCTTTATGAGGTCGTCGGTCCACCTTGTGGGTGGACGTTCAACGCTGTGGGCCCGGCTCATTGCCACTTCAGCTTGCTAATCCGTCGGGCTGTGTCAGCGACTTAAAATAAGCGACGTAAATAAAGTAAAGTGGAGGAACACTATCTGTGGTCGCGTTCCTCATCAGTGAGGGACCGAAGAAGATCTATCAACGCACAGCCGAAACAACTGCTGCACTGGACGGATCGGGCTGAAATTTGGCATGCAGGTAGATGTTATGACGTAGGCATCCGCTAAGAAAGGATTTCACGAAACTCCACCTCTAAGGGAGTAAAACGGGATCCTTGCTTACGAAGTCGCGGGGCGTCTGCTAATTTATTATAATTATGATAAAGCCTGGTCTGTGAGCACGTAGAATTTTGTCCAATGACCCCAAGCTACCCATCCTTATCGCTCGCGCGTAATTATATTGCTGTTGCGACTGTGCGACGGGCGTCCGCAGTGAGTGTGCGAGCGCGACAGAAACATAGTTACGCGCGAGCGATAAGGATGGGTAGCTTGGGGTCATTGGACAAAATTCTACGTGCTCACAGTCCAGACTATAGGTAGCCACCTCACCTCCTCCAAAGCGGCCCAGTCGCCCGCGTTGCCGCGTTGCCACTGCGGGGCCGTGTTGACGTAGTGGAAGGTGGCCACTTGACACGCGCGCAGGGAGAAGTCAGCTCGTGCTGCGAGGTGGCCTCGGCTTAGGAACTGGAATCAAGATTCATTATATTACAGTTTTTTTTGGACTGTCATGGGCGTACCCTGATAGATAGATAAATAAATCATTTATTTGCATACACTTAACACACATGAAATAGTAAAGTTGCAGCATAAGAATACAGCAGAATACGATATACTTAAGCATGCATAAACAAACAAAAATAGTTATAAGTGGAAGAATATTTCCTGCATGATGTGTGTCGCAGCGATGCAAAAAGCAAAGAGCTCAATGTAAACACTGCCCTCAAAAGGGCAGAACACTGATTTTCAGCTCTTGCTAGAGAAATTTAGAGAATCCGCGAAGCGCACGAGAACGAAATGAACCCGCCCGCCATCCGCTATCAGTAAAAATGTTTAAAAAACGATTCAATCTGAGACCCATAAAAGTGCCCAGCTTCTAGCCTAGGTAAGGGGGCAGTCATACCTAGTTTCTGGTCTAGGGGGGCAAGTCAGATTTTTTAGATCGTTTGACTTAGCTCCTTCAAAGCGATTGCAGCGCTTTTAGGCTAGTGTTTATACATTTTCTGCGAGATTTTCAGGGGGGCTGTAGGTGTTAAGCTTCAACCACACCAACGCGTGCAGATCGCCATCGCCGGCGCAATCAACGCGCGGTCAAAGGAAAATGACAGGTCGCGTCCATTATTAGTAGGTATAACCAGAGTAAATACAAATGAGTAGGTCATCTTCATAGAAACGCACCGAGCGCGATACGTATTGGCGCGCTCACATACAAACCGCGCTCGGTGCGTTTCTATGAAGATGACCTACTCATTTGTATTTACTCTGTACTTCTTCCGCGATCGCTTTGCTCTTAAGATTTAAATAATTTTATTGCTATTGTATCCTAATCAATCCCTTGCTATTCCTGTTGTTAAATATAATTTCCAATCCGCTAATAACATTCTTCCTTCCACCGTGTTCTTCCTACCTTTATTTCCTGACTCGAACTGCCTAACAATAATCTTAACGATTAAGAATCGGAATAGGATTCCGAGGAAAACATATGGTGGGTTGTTGGCAAATAACCCCCATATAACCAACGCGTACAGCCCGCGTGCGCGATGGCGATGGTGATCAGTAGAAATCAGTACCTCTAGTACGAAAAACTTTCGAGTTCGTTTCGTTGCGTATTCAAAGTGTCATCGAAAAATTTTGTATGAAAAATTAAACAGCGCCCCCTAGGGCGGCTATAATATAGGGGGCGCTGTTTAATTTTTCATACAAAATTTTTCGATGACACTTTGAATACGCAACGAAACGAACTCGAAAGTTTTTCCTACTAGAGGTACAGTAGCATCGCCATCGCGCACGCGGACTCCACTGGTCNTCGGAGGAGGCCGCGACGGAGAAGCGAGGATGGCGATCAGTAGAAATCAGTAGCATCGCCATCGCGCACGCGGGCTGCACTGGTCGAACCTTAAACATTATTGTATTAATATTGTATCTCGTTAACAAACCTCCTTCTTAGTGATGTACTGGTCAGCGACGTCACCCACGAGCTCCTGGACCCGTTCCTTCTGGTTCTTCATCGAGTACAACTTCGACATCCTGACTTTGCCGAAGAGAGTCCCCTCTGGAAGACAGATATTCATTCTGTAAGCTTTCTTTGAAAGAGCACGAGCACTTCTTTTGAGGACGAATGAGGTAAACGAAATAAAGTCGCCGACATAGCCCGACGATTAGCAAGCTGAAGTGGCAATGGGCGGGGCACATAGTACGCAGAACTGACGGCCTATGGGGCAGCAAGGTTCTGCAGTGGAGGCCGCGTACCGGAAAGCACAAGTAAGACCATGGACCAGGTGGACCGACGGCCTCATAAAGGTAGCAGGAAGGCGCTGGATGCAGGCCGCTACCAACCAGTCATTATGAAAACCATTGGGGGAGGGCTATGTTCAGCAGTGGACGTTCTATGCCTGAACCTGAAATGATGATGATGATGGATATTCTTGCAAGTGACTAGAGCTACATTACTATGGCTGGGTTGCACCATCTAACATAACTATAACAAACATCAAAAATCTGTCAAACTCCATAAAAAAACCGGTTATCGTTATACTTACGATTAAAGTTAGGTGGTGCAATTCAGCCTTATTATTACTTTATCAAAACTAACCGGTAAATTGAGGTCTCTGCTGGCCTTTCTGGAAGAAGACGCTGGCAGGCGTGAGCTCGTGTCGCACGTACACCGTCCTCACCAGAGACGGGTCGAAACAGGCCTCGTACACTGAGAAGAACACGCTCTCGATTTGGTAGCCCACTCTGGAACGTACAAAATGCTTAATCATCATCAGTTCAATGGACGCACACTTATCAACCCGGAAACGGATCGTAACCGTGTAAAATGGAGGCGATCAGTATTCTTTGTATGAAACTCCGTACTGCAACGCACACTTATCCGCACCGTCGATCCACCTTATAGGTAGAGGTGCCACGCTGCGTTTTCCATGGCCTCCATTCCAGAACCATGCTGCCACTTACATCTCATAGAACTATTATAAAATTTACAACTAGCCCTATCAGTCAAACACATGAAACATTTCACATGGTCCTTCGAGCCGGATTACCTGTGCAATTGATTTCCTCTCCCGCACCCCCCTTTCACTTCCTGAGTGCTGAACCACGGCTGCACGTTGCAGGTGATGGATTTGAAGGGTCCCAGCCACTGGCCCACTCGGAAGGTGGTGTTTGATACACAAGAGGCTTCCTGAAATGGTAGACACATCATTACTCATAATTCCATGGTCCACCTTCTCTAAAAATCCTTCCAGATCGGTTTCAAAGTTGCAAACTGAATAGGAATTAGTTTATAATTTTATTTTATTTATTTAGAATACAACGGTAGTAAATTAACTCTATCATTACAATTTCAATCGAATTTGAGAGCCAAAAAAGTATGTCAATTATAATTGAAAAATAACCCTTCTTCTGGCGCAGTCGGGTAAAAAACGGCCGTCCGTTGATTGTCTATCATTGGGTGCGTTTGGCGAAAAATAAACAAAATTTTAAGCAAAATGGTGATCGCTAAGCGGTAATCTCTGTCAGCTGCTAAAAAATGAATCGTCAATACTGATGTTTTTTTTTAATGCATAACAAGGCAGGTATTTGACCATAATCGCACCTGATGTTAAGTGGGATGCAGTCTAGGATGGTGCCCTGTAAGTTGGCAAAGGTACCTAGTATCCTCTCGCCAAAAACAGCCGAAAGTTTTCGGCAGTTGCCATAGCGATCGCCATTTTGCTTCTAAGCGCTTACAATTTATATTTTCCACCAAACGCACCCATTGTCTAGGATTGTAGAACAATTAATTTATTCTTTTCTCACCACCACATCCAGACTAATAGTTACATTCCCAAGGACTACCCGCCGCTTGTTCCCCGGGCATGCCACGGCCAGAGTTTCCGATTTCCGCAAACGTATGTCGCCCGCGGGATTTGGCGCCAAAAAGACGCCATCTTTGATGTAGACCGGAGCGGGTTTTTTAAAGTCATCTTGTAGGGAGAGTTTGCACTCTGTAAATTCAAATTAACACAGGTTTCGAGAGAAAAGAATTGCTACAAATAAATAATTATATTCTGAGGAGAAAGTTGTTCAAAATAAAATTGTGTAGGAACAGCGTGGGCGTTCACCGGTTACCAAAAATAACTTCTAATCATGTAGATAAACAAAATGCGCATAATTATACTTGAAGTTAATACAATTTTATCTAACAGCATCATTAAACGATACGGTAGTTTTATTTATCTCGCTTTAGCTTCCAGTTTTTGAATGCTATTATGATGCTATAGTTGACCATGATATGCATGAGTTTAAATCTAATTTTTGACTTTATTTCTGTGGTGTAAGTTATGAAAGAAAGGAAAATATTTATTTGATGCAAGTACATCTTTACAAAATAAAATTACAACTAAAATTAATCAGAATAGTGTAACATCAACATCAGGCACCAAAATGGCTAAAGTAGGTCGCGGCCCGGTCCAGCAGTGGTCGTAAGACGTCTACTGCTGGACAAAGACCTCCCCCAAGGTTTTCCATAATGAACGGTCCTGCGCTGCCCGCATCCAGGCTCTTGCCGCGACCTTCACTAGATCGTCGGTCCACCTAGTAGGATGCCTGGCCCGCCCACACTACGTCTTCCAGCCCGTGGTCACCACTCGAGAACTTTTCTGCCCCAACGGCCATCGTCTCTACGTGCTATGTCTAAAGTAGGTATTTTTTATTTTTAAATATTATAGGTACCTACCTACTAAAAATTTTTTTTATCAATAAATTAGAAATATCTAGCGAGGAATCCAATGCAATTACCTACACTATGCACTTCCTCACAATGAATTCAATATTTCAAGGTTTGCTAATTATTATACATACAGTATTAAAAGAACATAATTTACCTGAACATCTGTAAAAATATAGTAATAAGTCATTAAATAATACGATGCACTAACAAAGCACATAAAACATTCGACAGTTACACGTTTTATTATGTACCTAACCTAACTAATGAGCTAGTTACAAAATTAAAATTAATCTGGGGGCACGGCAGTGCCCCCACCAAGTCGAGCAAAAAAGCGGCACGGCCGTACCATCCTTTTCTCGAAGCAATTCAGGCCATTTTCGACTGCTTGTAACTTCGTTGTGGATAAAACTAGAAGGCTGANTTGTATCTCGTTATCTTAACAAACCTCCTTCTTAGTGATGTACTGGTCAGCGACGTCGCCCACGAGCTCTTGAACCCGTTCCTTCTGGTTCTTCATCGAGTACAACTTCGACATCCTGACTTTGCCGAAGAGAGTCCCCTCTGGAAGACAGATATTCATTCTGTAAGCTTTCTTTGAAAGAACACGAGCACTTTGAGAAGGAAGGAGATCTGTACGAACTATAGTCGCTGACATAGCCCGATAGCAAGCTGAAGTGGCAATGGGCAGGCACATAGTACGCAGAACTGACGGCCGATGGGGCAGCAAGGTTCTGGAGTGAGGCCGCGTACCGGAAAGGGCCACCCACAAGGTGGATCGACGACATCATAAAGGTAGCAGGAAGGCGCTGGATGCAGGCCGCTACCAACCAGTCATTATAGAAACCATTTGGGGAGCTCTATGTTCAGTGGACGTCCTGTGACTGCAATGATGATGATGAGCACTTCCATTATGTAGACGACTTATGTATTCTAGAAAAGCTATTCACACCCAATAAGAACATGTTGGGCGCCAATCTCAGGAATTACTGGTCCGATTGAAAAAAATATTATTGTGTTGGATAGCCCATTTAACGAGAAAGGCTTTAGGCTTTATTATACAATGTTTTTTTGCTAGAGAATAATATTTAAAATTGTTGTCGCGGGAGGTGCGATTTTTTGGACGTCGAGTGTACTGTATTTAACATCACCCTCTACAGCCAAAACAAAAAACGTTGCAAAAACGCGAAATAATAATTTTCAATTTACTAAGCAGACACAGCTAGTTTAACATATTTTGGCAAGTGAGTAACTTAGTGCTACATAACTACCTACTTATTGTTACTTTAAACTAACCGGTAAATTGAGGTCTCTGCTGGCTTTTTTGGAAGAACACGCTGGCAGGCGTGAGCTCGTGTCGCACGTACACCGTCCTCACCAGAGACGGGTCGAAACAGGCCTCGTACACTGGGAAGAACACGTTCTCGATTTGGTAGCCCACTCTGGAACATACAAAATGCTTTATCATCATCAGGTCAATTAAGGACGCACACTTTCAACCCCGAAAAGGATCGTAACCGTATCAAATCGAGGCGGCATTCCTTTATCTGTCAATAGGCCGTATAGGCCGCGGTCTAGGGGCGGCAGATTTCAGATGACTTTTACTTGATTTCAGAAGATAAAAGTTAAATAAAGATCCAACCTCACCCTAGCCTACGGGCGGCAAAACTGTAAATCCGCCACTGAGGCGGTCAGTATTCTTTGTATGAAACTCCACACTGCAACGCCTACCTACTACTTACTATCTGGTCTTCGACCTTTTGGCCGGTTCGGGTGTCGAGCTGGTGCTCATGGCCCGTGCTTCTTCTCGGCTGGCTACTGCCAGTCGGTGGTTGAGGCGTCGCTTTGGCGACGGACTGACCTGAGGCTTCTACCTGGCCACGCCCTCGGCGCGGTACTAGCCCACCGGGTGAGTCGACGTTGGTCGAGGTCGTTGAACGACCAGGGAGCGGGCGGTTCCTGGATGCCAGAGAGACTTCCACACCGAATTTAAACAGTTGACAGCGCAGCAAAGGCGATACGGTGTTAATCCTTTTTAGGGTTGATAAGTGTGTCCTTTAGTCTCCACTGCAGGAGTATGACCCTCTTCAATTTACCAGAGGCAAATGGAGGATTTGGCTTAGTACACTCCCCACACTGGCACAAAGTTTGTAGGCATAGCGCGCGCACGCCGCACTAGCATTTTGTAGACATACTTAAGACGTACCTACATAGCTCGTAGAGACAATGGCCGTTGGGGCAGGAAAGTTCTCGAGTGGCGACCACGGGCTGGAAAACGTAGCGTGGGCAGGCCTCCTACTAGGTGGACCGACGATCTGGTAAAGGTCGCGGGAAGAGCCTGGATGCGGGCAGCGCAGGACCGTTCATTGTGGAAAACCTTGGGGGAGGCCTTTGTCCAGCAGTGGACGTCATTTGGCTGAAACGACTTAAGACGTAATTTGTGCTTTCACAAAAGCAAAGAGGAGTTCTGTCCAAGTATTTCCATTGGATGCTAAACAATTCGTCTCGTCTCCGCCTTGGTGGAAAACTTCTCTAACTCAAAATCTACAATCGTTGGACCCCGCCCTTGTGAAGAATAAGCACGTATTTACTGCAACCCGAACGAGTTACTGCGCACCTCGCTGGAATGCGACTCTCCTCCCACTTACCCGCACACCTCCCCGCGTTCCACCCATCCGTACTAGAGTCGATGTGACGTCACGGTGATGTAATCTCATGGAACTCTATTATTTGTAACTAGCCCTTAAGTATCTGTCTAAAACACAAAAAAAAATTGGCATGGTCCTTCGAGCCGGATATACCTGTGCAATTGATTTCCTCTCCCGCACCCCCCTTTCATTTCCTGAGTGCTGAACCACGGCTGCACGTTGCAGGTGATGGATTTGAAGGGTCCCACCCATTGGCCCACTCGGAAGGTGGTGTTCGATACGCAAGAGGCTTCCTGGAATGGTAGACACAATTATCCCAACTAATATTATAAATGCGAAAGTAACTCTGTCTGTCTGTCTGTCTGTCTGTCTGTCTGTCTGTCTGTCTGTCTGTCTGTCTGTTACGCTTTCCCGCTTAAACCTCGCAACCGATTTTGATGAAATTTGGCATAGAGATAGTTTGAGTCCCGGGAAAGAACATAGGATAGTTTTTATCCCGGTTTTTGAAANAACCGTGGCGATGAGAAATACCCAGGTATTACTTACTCTTAATTTAGTAAACAGTTTTATCTAACAGCATTATTAAACGATACGGTAATTTTATTTTATCTCGCTTTAACTTCCAGTTTTTGAATGCTATTAGCTATGATGCTATAGTTAAATGATTGAGTAAAAATCTAATTTTGAACTTTATTTATTAATTGGTGTATAATTATGAAAGAAAGGAAAATATTTATTTGATGCAAGTAGGTACATCTTTACAAAATAATTACAACTAAAACTAATCAGAAGGGTGTAGACGGTACCTACTTTACCTATTTACATCAGGCACCAAAAGGGCATCCTGTAGTGAGGTATTTTTTTTAAAGGTAGTTACATAATATTATTTTAAAAATTGTTTTTATCAATAAATTAGAAATATCTAGCGAGGAATCCAATGCAATTACCTACACTATGCACTTCCTCACAACGAATTCAATATTTCAAGGTTTGCTAATTATTATACAGTATTAAAAGAACATAATTTACCTGAACATCTGTAAAAATACAGCAATAACTCATTAAATAATACGATGCACTAACAAAGCACTTAAAACATTCGACAGTTACACGTTTTATTATGTACCTAACCTAACTGAGCTAGTTACAAAATTAAAATTAATATTATATTTATAACAACAGGATAAACTGAAAACCAAACTTAAATAAATAAAATTACGCTAAGCACAAGTCTCAGCATTTTACGGAGAGGGAAAATGGTTAAGTTTTTCCGAAACATTTTAAATACGGGAAAAACTGAGTATTTTTTCATGATCTATGGATTTTTATGCGGGATTTTTTTAAATGACAGGACTTAGATCAAATATCGCTACCGTTGCTAAACGCTATGCGTTTTCCTGAAACATTTTAAATTGTGGAAAAACATTAAATTCTTCATGATTAGTATTAGTAACTAGTGATAGATTTTATGGGAATTTTTAATGGAAGGAAAACGTTTATCATAGTAAATAAAAAATCTAGAATCAATAAGGCTACTAAGTATCACTTAATATTAATAACATTCAACGAAGTTCTTTGTCATTTTTCACATTTTAGATTTTAGGCAACCTCGCGTCGCGTAGGCGGGCTAATTCGTAGTTCCACTTTTCTCCGTAAAGCGACTCGCTATCGATTAGAATCACTGAAGTTTGAACACAATAAGAAAATTTTCTTTGAAGTATTTATTACAGAAAATGATAATTTACCTCCTCTGACGTCAGCGACTGAGATGGCCAATAGCAGCGCGGTAAAACAAAACACCAAAGACACGCACTTCATTTTGTGATTATTTAACGGTGCTCTGCTATATCATGATATAGGTATTGCTTGGGTTAATAACGGCATAACACTGAATCGTTGCTTTCGTCACCCAGGTTGTGATGTAGGTAACACAATAGGGGCAGAGTTAGTAGTCTCGATTTAAAATGTGGGGACAGAGAGCAGGCAGGAGCTTCGTAGGTTCTGATATTAAATATAGGCATATTTAAGCAAGTTTTATAATGGTAAATACTTAGTTGTTGTATTAAAATAACGAATATTTACTATGTATAGTTTTACCTCGCGAATTTCGCGTAGATTTAGATTTTTCGCAGTCTAAATTCCTACCCAAAAATTACGCGTCGATTACGGACGTTTTGACATTGGAACGTTAAATAGGTACATTTTAGGGATTTAGGGAACATTAACTTAGTTAATAGTTAATTAGTTAATAAGTTATTTCAATTACCTAGCTTACAGCGATCGGGGAGAATCGAACTAGCGACTCTAGAATCTGTTACGAAATAAGAAATTTCTTCAGATTAATATTTAAATAAGTATCGTATATAATTTTAAAGACTTCATTCATTAAACTGCATTTCAACTCGATGTAGTGTAAATTAGGTCTATGTTTTTCTTTGTTTATTATTAGTTGTTAGACTTTATACTTTTTCTCTTAACTTCTTTTGTGTGATAACAGTAAGTCCAAGGACTTCGATTTGCGTGTTACGTGCACGTGAGATTACCACTTTTCTCTTGAAACTGAGTTTGCTTCTGACCTAAATCTCAAACAAGATATGATTAGATCGTTCATTCAACGAAAAAACGTCCACTGCTGGCTGCTGGACAGCGTCCTCCAAGGATTTCCACAATAAACGGTCCTGCGCTGGCCGTATGCTGTAGTTTTATCTTCGTCACGTGTGGCGTCGTTCAGGGAACGGAAGACGTGTAGGCAGACCTGCCACTCAGTGGACCGACGATCTGGTGACGCCACTTTAAGAAGATTACGTCTTACAGTCAGATAACGATGATTACTTATGATAAGATAATGTTTAGGTGATTTTTTAGTCAACCAGTTATAAAATTCTATATTAAGATCAGCGGGCATGCGAATCAAAACCTAGTGGTAGTGTACAAGCGATCGATAATATTATAAATACAGATAAGCTTATAATATTATACATTTATGTTAGAAAACAGTCGACTTATAAAAACATACAGATGTTAAATGTTTATGCAAGCAAATGATTGTTTGTGCGTGGGGATCAAACCTGCGACCTCTGGAATAGAGCTGTAGGTAGGCGAACCACTAAGCCAAACGCTTAATAAAAGGAGTTTAATTACTTTACTAATACTAATTACACTACAAGCATGTCGTATCGTATTACAGGGGCGCCGTATTAAGTAAGTAGGCTGGGTGTCCACGGTATTTTGATTTTGACGCCCCCTGAAACTGCGACTCAGCAGTTCTAATTCTACTGAATCAACCTTTTTATAAAGAATATTTATATTCATTTATGAAGATAATTCAGTCTGTGATGAAATAAAATAGGTCTTTGAACTAATAGCTGGCACAATCAGTAGATAATGAGTGTTGGTAATTAAAAAGGCATGAAGATAAAAAATCGGCACGAGGGTTAATGATGCCCACCTACATAAAGACAGACAGCTACATTTTACCAAATGCTGGTGGAGTTTCCCTGCGTGATCGAATCAGAAATGAGGAGATGCGTAGGATAACCAGAGTGACTGACATAGCCCGCAGAATCGCTAAAATCAAGTGGCAGTGGGCAGGGCACATAGCTCGTAGAGCTGATGGCCGTTGGGGCAGGAAAGTTCTTGAATGGCGACCACGAGCCGGAAGACGTAACGTGGGCAGGCCTCCCACTAGGTGGACCGACGATCTGGTGAGGGTCGCAGGAGGTGCCTGGATGCGAGCGGCGTAGGACCGGTCTTTGTGGAAATCCTTGTGGGAGGCCTTTGTCCAGCAGTGGACGTCATTCGGCTGAAACGAACGAACGAACCCAAAGTAAGCCAAAAAGTTCACAAGACGTCTTTGTTACATTGGAATAAAGTGGTGTCACACGAACTATTTTGACTCTGTAAGTACTAACTTTGACTCGAGGTTTGGAAAGTTTCATCAAAATCTGTTCAGTATTTTTTTGTGTGAAATACATCAATCACAAATTTTCCTTTTAACGTTCCTACGCCTAAACCACTGAACCGATTTTGATGAAATTTGGCATAGAGATGAGTCCTGGGAAAGGACACAGGATAGTTTTTATCCCGGCTTTTGAAACATAGGGACGCGCGCGATAAAGTTTTTCTGTGACAGACAAATTTCACGCGACTTCGCCCGCGGGCAGAAAGTTAGTGATGAAATAAAACAATTATAAAAGCTTAACATATTTTATTTCACCGGTAAAACATCACCCCAATTGCTAGACCTTGCACATCTATATGTAGCCTGATCGTACTTTCCCTTAGAAAATATTATTTCTTTCAAGTCCCCTTGCGCTGTACATAACCTACAAATTGTGTGACCGGAACGGACGATCGGAGCTCTGACTATACGAGGCCACTGTGGGTCATCGGATGGTCTTTCACCCTTTTTGAGAATTACGTAAGAAAACACATCTGCATGTATCTCAGCTTTGGATGGATACTGTAACGATTCGTACTTCATCAAGAAATTACATGGAGTTTCTTGTTCTAGATATCTTGGGCAAACATTGTCATTCGGACATGGTGAGAAAGCATATCCGTTGTTTTTCCCTTTGGATAGATTGAGGACAAATTCTCTAGCTTCGTTGNCTTCGTTCACAATTTTAAAACCAGCGTTTGTGCCTTGTTCGACGATGATTAAGTAGTCTTCGGTTTTATTCCACAGCTTCTGTATTGTTTCTAGTCTAGATTTCATATTGGGCATTTCGAATAGTGAGAAAGCTGACAAAACAATACTGTATTTCATATCTGACGATGCTGGAAGGAATTGCCGTTGAAAGAAACCTCTTAAAGGCATCTCAACATTATCTTTTCCATGGCAAAGTATAAGCCGGGCCAAGTCGTTCATATGTACAGATGTGTCAACGCAGAAATATTCGAAAATGTCACCCTTCCAATACGTATTGACCGCCCACGTTCCTGTACCAACGCCTGAACCGAAGTCGAAGAAACTCCTTGGTTTATAATCAGGATATTTTTTGTCTATTTCATCAAGAATTCTGACCAAAATAGCATATTCAGGAGCTGCTCTTACCATTAAATATTGCAAACTGGTCGCTTTATCATAGGATATGTTCCCCCATCTATACACATTAGTCTTTAAAATATTGAACACCTTCGATTTCACTTTTTGGTTGTACTTCTCTAACTGATCTGGAGTCAATTCTGCTGCTGCTGTGTTAACTTTTTCGAAAGTTTTCTTTTCAATTTTGTCATAGATTTTCTGGGCTTTTAGATCAATATCTCCATCTTCAGGGGGCAATAACCTAGACCGCAGATAGTTGTTAAGTTTCAGGCTGTCTTCCTGCAAAGCTTTGGCTTTGTTGTCTTCTAAAATTATTTTTATAGCCTTCTGAATATCGGGTGGTACACTCGCAATTTTCACTCGTGTTGTACCGGGATGTTTACGTGGTTTGAACTGTTTGGACTCAAAGCTTTCCTTCAGGGTTGCGTCTAGTGCTACTCTGGTTGAGTAACTGTTGTAATAAAGCGATATTTGAGATAATTTCAGCTTTCTGAACATTTTTATAACCTCAACTGCAGCACCCACCAAAACAAATTATACGTCAATTTGACAATGACATTGACGACGACATCGCGTAAGCATTTATGAAGTCAGTACCATTTAATGCAATTTATATTTTGACTTAATTTTTATAAACCATTAACCATCCAAACAAATACACTTAGAAATGGAACTTAACATTGAAGGTTATGTTAATTAATGTAAGTCAGTGATTCGTTTAGAGAATAATTGTTCTTCTTTGTGATTTTTAACTATTATCCGCCGTTTTCCTAATTACATGACTATCTTCGCAAATGGTTTCATTTCCGAGTTGGTGTTTCCTGTTTCCGGTGGTGGTTCCGGATACGGAAAGGAAGGGACTCCGGCTTTTAGTCGAAAACATTATTTTACTTAAATTTGTAGTAAATATGTGTTTTAACGGGCCATTTTATTATTTTGGGTCCTAACAATATAAAAACAGTAAATAAAATACACTTATTATTTAGAACAAAACTATATTTACACAAAACTTACAACCAACACTTATTTTTGGTAAAAATGCATCATTTTTAACACAAATGTCTCATCAACTATTTTTATATTAAAAACAAATAAATTAAATTAATATTTATGTAGCTCAACTTTTGGCCTTAGCCATCTCTTCTTGCTTGTGTTTAGAAATGCAGCTTCTGAACTCATTGACCTCTGTCTGGCACTTCCTCCAGTCCTTGGTAGTAGCTATGCACTCCTGGCAAAAAGATACATTTCAATAAAAGCAAATAAATATAATAAAAACGCAAAATCATTATCTTTTTTTTTTTTTAATAAATAAAANATTTTAGCAATTTCATTCACAAAATCAATTGCGCACATTTGAAATAAAGTTTGTTTACACTTTGACAGCAATAGACTGACATGCAAGGTGACATGTCAATTAAGTTTTTAGTTATTGTTGCCATTAAAAGAAATTAGTACCATTAGATTTCCGCAACATGGCGAGGGTTTTTATGTTCCTGGTCAGGCTATAACATTGAAGGTTATGTTCATTAATGTAAGTCAGTGATTCGTTTAGAGAATAATTGTTCTTCTTTGTGATTTTTAACTATTATCCGCCGTTTTCCTAATTACATGACTATCTTCGCAAATGGTTTCATTTCCGAGTTGGTGTTTCCTGTTTCCGGTGGTGGTTCCGGATACGGAAAGGAAGGGAAACATTATTTTACTTAAATTTTGTAGTAAATATGTGTTTTAACGGGCCATTTTATTATTTTGGGTCCTAACAATATAAAAACAGTAAATAAAATACACTTAGTATTTGGAACAAAACTATATTTACACAAAACTTGCAACCAACACTTTTATTTTTGGTAAAAATGCATCATTTTTAACACAAATGCCTCATCAACTATTTTTATTTTAAAACAAATAAATTAAATTAATATTTTTGTAGGTCAACTTTTGGCCTTAGCCATCTCTTCTTGCTTGTGTTTAGAAATGCAGCTTCTGAACTCATTGACCTCTGTCTGGCACTTCCTCCAGTCCTTGGTGGTAGCTATGCACTCCTGGCAAAAAGATACATTTCAATAAAAGCAAATAATTATAATACAAAAGGTAAATCATTCTAATCTGCCTACATTTTGAAAGATTTTCAGTCACAGAAGAACATTAATTACTTAAAGCCTGATATAGTAAACAAGTTGTAAACCAATAGGTAAACCTTCAAATAAACAGATTTTCTTTTGGTTTTTATTTGTTTTCTGTCAGGAAAATGGAAATACATGCAGCATGAATGAGCCACATTATAATAGAACCTAGTTATTATTTATTGTAGTGGAGGTTTTCATTATGTACCTATTCTTATTATGTACGCTTTTTTGATTGTCCTGCAACAACGTACCTATTAATGATGAATAATTTTACCTGAACTTTATAATGCAGCTCTATACAGCCAGTCTTCTTCAGCATATTTTCGACCGGGTCGTCATCATCGTCGGCTGGCCTTTCACGAGGTTTTACGGTCATTTTGAATCGCCAAATAAATTTTTATTTGTTGACTTTCACAAGTTCACAACATAACCTCCAAATATATTTTTGACAGATCTCCAGCTGATTGTTGACGTATTGTCACGGTTAGTAGCTTTAGGAGCTGTGACATATTTAGAATTTAGATTAGAAGTTAAGTTTAGAGAAATAAAAGATAGATTTAAGTTAACAAGTTATTTATTACAATTTAGAGAAGTGAGNCAAGGGTGGAAAATTGGGGATGAACTTTTTTATACGCAATTTTTAGTATTTTTTGTGTTCACGCATTTGAAGTCGGTTTTATTTTTTTAAAAAGTTAATTATTTATTTAGTTAGTGTCGTCAGTGCGCGCCGGGCGGCGTCTTGGCGGGCGACGCGGGCGGAGGCGCCGACCATTCCACGCCGTCGCCCTCGTACTGGGTGGAGGAAGAATTAATAAAGCTGTCAATTCTTCATAGGATGTGTCATTTAGTTTTTTCAGTCACATATTTCTTAGCTAGGTCACGGGCTAGGTAATCATTTGGTGTCTGCCATCATGTCCATCATCTTTTTAAAGGACTCGTAACAATAGAAATGTCAGCGAAGGCACTAGGGCAGCAGAAGAATGTAACACGTCGGTCTGACAAAAGTACCAGGCTCGCAGAAGCGCGTAAGAGCGAGGGTCATTCCGTTTCTCAAGAGTTTCTCTAACAAAAGTACCAGGAGCGCAAAGATCCTGCAGAATTACTGCCTACGCGCGGCAGAATCAAATGACAGTGATTTGTATGAACGGACCTTTTTGGGTCCATTTTTACAGTATGAAGTGGGCAGAAAAATAAAAGTCCATATAATAATTTATCCGTAAAGGCCTATATTTATTTATTTAGTGTCGTCAGTGCGCGCCGGGCGGCGTCTTGGCGGGCGACGCGGGCGAAGGCGCCGACCATTCCACGCCGTCGCCCTCGTACTGGGTGTTCTCGAGCCGGGTGATCATCATTCTTCATAGGATTTTCATTTAGTTTTTTTAGACACAGTCATGTTCCTTTTATGTCGTTTATGTAATTTTTTGTGTCTGTCATCATGTCCATCATCATAAATTACACACATTGTAAAAAACTAGAAATACAGCAGAAGAATGACAAATAGGTCTGACAAAAGTACCAGGCTCGCAAAAGCGCGTCAGAGCGCTATTACGTTACTTTGAGGCCGCAAAAGTACCAGGAGCGCAGAGCTCCTGCAGAGGTCTGTCCACGCGCGGCAGAAACAAGTGAGTGTGTTTTCTATGAACGGACCTTTTTTGGTCCATTTCTGAACTTGTAGAGGTGGTTTGGAGGCAAAAAAATAAAAGTCCATATAATAATTTATCCGTAAAGGCCTATATTTATTTATTTAGTGTCGTCAGTGCGCGCCGGGCGGCGTCTTGGCGGGCGACGCGGGCGGAGGCGCCGACCATTCCACGCCGTCGCCCTCGTACTGGGTGTTCTCGAGCCGGGTGATCATCATTCTTCATAGGATTTTCATTTAGTTTTTTTAGACACAGTCATGTTCCTTTTATGTCGTTTAGGTATTTTTCTGTCTGTCATCATGTCCATCATCATAAATTAGACACGTAAAAACTAGAAATATCAGCGGAGGCACTGGGCAGCACAGCAGAAGAATGAGAAAATAGGTCTGACAAAAGTACCAGGCTCGAAGAAGCGCGTCAGAGCGCTATTACGTTACTTTGAGGCCGCAAAAGTACCAGGAGCGCAGAGCTCCTGCAGAGTTTTGTCACGGTTTTGTCCACGCGCGGCACAAACAAATGACAGTGTTTTCTATGATCGGACCATTTTGAGTCCATCTACAGGAGTCTCCCTTCTGTGTCACAGTTAGAGGTATTTTTAAGGCAGAAAAATAAAAGTCCATATAATAATTTATCCGTAAAGGCCTATATTTATTTATTTAGTGTCGTCAGTGCGCGCCGGGCGGCGTCTTGGCGGGCGACGCGGGCGGAGGCGCCGACCATTCCACGCCGTCGCCCTCGTACTGGGTGTTCTCGAGCCGGGTGATGATCATTCTTCATAGGATTTTCATTTAGTTTTTTTAGACACAGTCATGTTTTTTTTTATGTAGTTTAGGTATTTTTCTGTGTCTGTCATCATGTCCATCATCATAAATTAGACACGTTGTAAAAAAACTAGAAATATAGTTCCAAAATACTGGACTGTCCTGTCGATGACATTGACAGTGGGGCGCCACCGTCAATACCGGATCGCTGGTTCAGATTTTTGCCATGTTGGAAACCATATAGTTGAACGATGGTAGCGCCCCCCTGTCATTGAGTTTGGCGGGACAGTTCAGCGTGGGTCATCTATACAGCAGAAGTATGACAAATAGGTCTGACAAAAGTACCAGGCTCGCAGAAGCGCGTCAGAGCGCTATTACGTTACTTTGAGGCCGCAAAAGTACCAGGAGCGCAGAGCTCCTGCAGAGTTTTGTCCACGCGCGGCAGAAACAAATGACAGTGTTTTCTATGATCGGACTATTTTGATTTTGTGTCCATCTACAGTAGTCTCTNGGTCAGCGGTAACGCTAACCGTTACAGTATTAAGCAGTTAAATATAGAAGGCAGTTAGGAACCAAACCCTATTCGAAACTAGTGACTTTTTAAATAATAAGTATAATACACGTTTCGTTATAAGCATTGCATGATTCTTGTAACAGCGGACTAAAAGTTAGACGGTCCCATCGCTTGGAAGAAGTCCTGACAACATGGGGAAACTTTGAAAACCTAATTAAACAAAGACTATAGTCTATCCAATATAGCTTGATTAGAATGACGGCTGTCAAACGAATGTGACTAGTGCTGGGTATGTTTCGTACGGTTCACATAGATGTATCGATAAGATTTCGAAAAAATGATATAAATAATGCACCCAAATTTTCTTCATATCTTTCTTCATAAAAATGACAATTATGATTTAAATTTAAAGACAGTAAAATTTAAAATTCATGTCAAGGGTGTACAACCTAAGTCGTAGTCATTATCATCAGTGTTCTTCAGTGGTTTTTTCCTCTCGCTAGAGGGCGGTGGGCATCTCTTCTAGAGCAACGGTGCTATGAATACCCAATAAATTACCGGTGATTGATTTCCGATGTTTGATTATTTAAGAATGAAATGTTTTTTGGGTTTTAATAGTGAACATTTATAAAAACGTATAACTTGACTTAAATATGTTAAAAAATTAGTTAGAAAAAAAAATTGTTGAATATGTTAAAAAAATAGTTTTAATTTAATATGACATTTGTCGATATGTCCCAACACTAAGATTTTTGTAACTCGAGATAACCTTGTAGAGACGTCGTTAATACTCTAGCTTGATTTTTATAATTTCGAATTACTATTTATTGGTGTAATTTAACGCTGCATTTACACGAAATTAACATTTTTATTGGAAGCACTGTCGTCGAAAATATTGTTTGTAGGTCAGACGTGAATTATTTCTTGTCCGCCAATATTTAGCTCTCATTGATCGCTACTACAAAGTTATGTCGTTACTTTTGATGGCAGCTGTCATTCTAATCAAGCTATATTGGATAGACTATAAATAATATTATTTCAATGTTTAGCTTATTAACTTCTCCCCGAAAACAAAGTTCCATTCGAAACAGAAATTAAGTTTCGATATCGCTTCATGGAGCGAAATAATTATGAAAAATCACCGGAGCAAAGCGATTTCAGAACTATAACTTTCACAGTAGGCTTTAATCGATCGAAGCACTACTTTAAGACAGGAGCTTCTTTTAAGATTTATTGAAAAGACGATATTATTTTATTCATCATCATTTCAGCCACAGGGCGTCTACTGCTGAAAATAGGCCTCTCTTCAAATGATTTCCACATCACCCGGTTATTAGCGGTCTACATCCAGCGCTTTTCTGCTACCTTTTTGAGGTCGTCGGTCCACCTTGTCACCTTGTCGGTGGACGACTCATGCTGCGTTTTCCGGAAAAAAGATTTTTTTAAGGGTTCAATAACACGACAAGCTTTCTATAAATTATCAATTTATTTTAAAAATTAACAAAGTACTAAAATACAGCCTACGCTAAGATCTTGCTCTTGTTCCTGAGGGCTACGTACGCGACGAGGATGGACATTCCCGTGGCAAGCACTTCGGAGTTCACCCAGGGGCCGGAGTAGCCTGGAACACAACAAATTATTTTAAAAAACATGTTTAGACAAAGCCATATTTTTCTTTAAGATTGTATTTTCATCGTTGCAGACAGTGGCGGCGTAAAGCGTGGGCGACGTGGGCCACCGCCTACGGGCGTTGCAGAGGAGGGCGGGGCAGATAGCTTGTAGAATTGATGGTCGTTGGGGCAGAAAAGTTCTTGAGCTGTGATCACGAAGATGTGAAGGTCGCGTAAGCGCCAGGATGTAAGGCGCGGGCAGCGCAGGACCGTCGTTGTTGTTGTTGACCCCTTGACCAGCAGTAGAGTATTACGGTAATACTATTACCGTTTAACCTTCCTTCAAAGATCGATCGAAATAACGACAGGCCGACACCGAAACCATAATGCTATAACTGTCGTCAAAATATAGTAGGCCAAGCTCAGGATGCGCGCCGTGTTAAAATCTTAGGCGAATAGACGACAAATGGCGCGATAAAATCTTATCGGGCGCGCATCCTAGGCCTACTAAACTGAGATATTGCAAAGTTTGTGTCAACAACTTATTTAATCGATTGCGTGAGCGAGAGTTCACAACAGTCAAGGTCGCGGGAAGTACCTGGATACAGGTGGTGCAGGGCCTGTCGTGAAAATCCTTGAGGGAGGCCTTTATCCAGCTGTGGACTTCATTTGACTGAAATGAACTCAGTAGAAAGACCCTGCCACCCTGGCGGATTGCAAGCGTTTTAAAAGCCTTTTTGGATAGAGAATCTTTTTGTTGCTTTTAGAGTCTTGGCTTCCCAGGAAATCTTGCTCCAAGTAGTTTTTCTTCTCGCTGAATCCTCAACAGATTCAGTTAAGCGCTAGACCTAGATAAAGGCTATTGGAACGCTGCCACGAAATTCCGATCGACCAGCAGATTAAGCGCCGCAAGTGGAATTCGATCGGCCACTCTC